GCTTTGAGGGGGCACAGCAGGGACGAGGAGCTCGACTGCTATCTTGTTGCCATATAAGACTTTGTAAGAGTGCATGGTGATGGGCAGGATTGTGGCGCGGTGGACAGCGGCCATGGCAATAGCCAGCATCAAACATTTTTGGTTGTAATATGAACTCAAAGCCCTTTATATCCTTGAAGACCACATCTAACTGATGTCTACAGCATCGTTGGTGCACTTTGTAGCAACTATTATTCCACTTTTCCCTACGCCAACCCATGTCTTGGTCCGAACGATGATGAAAATAACTGTCGCTTCTATTATTAGTCAGCACTAAATGTTGCACTCCGACTTCGAGGTCACCTGCACGATGGCTTTGCGTGTCCCCATGACCGATGATATTTAGGACTGGCATAAGATGAAACCTGTCACTGTCCGGAGCTGCTGACTTGGCAGATGCAGATGTTAATGGTGCGAACGGGTTGACATCGCTTAATATGCGGGCTCCTATACTCCTACATCTATCGCATTGAATCTCTATACCCAAATTTTCATGACTCTTGTTTAACCAACCACGAACTGCTTTCGTCACATCAAATTCCAGCCACTGGGTGCGGGTTTCTTCGTAGCGCATGTTTTCAAACTCAATTTTACGGGACGCAAGTAACCTTCGTCTACTTGATGAAAGAAGTTGATATACTTTGAGATTCAATTTGCGAAAATGGGCGCGCCCTCGGCTCTTGGATTCGTTACGCTGCTCTGCGTTAAAGTCAATGACATCGCCATCGCCGGCATTACAATTTTTGTCCTTGTTCTTCATTGAGCTATCATTGCCGAAATTGCGATTGAATTTTCTTTGGCCAGTTGCTGTTGCCTGAAATTTTCGAGTATTTTTCGCAAGGACTGAACTATAGAGTAGCATTAGCCTTACATTAGCCTCGTCAATTTTATCATGCTGAAAGTTGGCATCATTTACGTTTGTCAGTGGAAAGTGCAATAGAATATTGGTCTTATCCCTTTGGTCAAAATGGATTTTTTCATTCGATCTTCCTTTCTTTGTTTGTCTTAATACGGACAGGTTCTTAACAGATCGTTTATGACGCCATCGTTTCTGACTTATGTCGTTAAAACTTTTAGTTACAATGCTTAATATGTGTAAATCCGTAAGGGGGGACGACGCTACAGGTTCGTCACTTAAATAGCTGACGCCTCTTACATGGTTGGTTTTAAGGCGGTCTAAGTATTCACCGTATTTTCTTAAGTATTCAACTTGACTTATGTTCACCTGTAAAAACAAAAATTACATTAAATAGAATTTAAAATACATGCACATGTATTTACATATGTACATACATACTGATTTACTCGTTTACTCGCACAATTAAATGTTAATAATACATAAATATGTATATTCTTATTCCTACCTTTTTCATATCTGGAAGCTTTTTTAATCCAAGACCATTCATTACCAGTCGCTTAAGTTTTGCTTCATCAATCCGGTTCCCATTTGGTGACTTGTTGTTATAATTTTTATTATAATTGTGACTATCAACTTCCTGGCCGTCATTTCTTATGTATCTTTTACGGATATTCTTAATTGGAATACTGTTATTCTTCTCAAATTCCATTACTGAAATGTTTACGTGGGTCGACTGGGCCTCAGGGTGGCTTAAAATAATCAGACTATATTTATTTGAACTTGCATTAAATGACGACACGCCTTCACCTTCTCTTCTTCCTCTTTCACTACTTTCTATAATATTTTTTTGAGAAGGGATAGTTATGCTTCTTTGAATGTTATTACTTTTGGTTTGAGTTCCAGTTGATTGTAGTTGTTGATTGGTTAGCCGTATCTGAATTCCGTCGTTTAAAGTTTGTAATTGCATACTTGTGTAGTTATTGTCGTAGGGATTGTCGTAAACGTTAGAATTTGAATTTGACGTTGGGCGAAAAATAGCTTGACCATTTGCTTGCAGGGTCAGGATTGGAAATAGTAATATAATGACTAGCCATACCTGTGTTAAATTGTACAGTGAATACTTTAGAAATGTTGTGGGAAATGTATGAACTATAGCGAGCTTGGATCGAATCTGATTTGTACTCGACGTTGATATACGATTGTTATATCTGGCACATACTATATTTGTAGAATGACAAAAATAATAGTGGTAAAGAATCCATCTGGAACATGTCGTCTTGTTACGACAAAGGTGTCTTTGTCTGATGTGGCGACAGGTCAGGGGGCCATTTTTTGTACCCCTTGTAAATGTAACGCATTTATACAGGTTACACCTCTTCGGTGCGTTTTGGTAATTGGCCGGAAAATTTGGTTTACTGTCTATTAACATGTTTCTTCCACATGACCATCAAGTTGCCTGTGTCCAAGTTGATCAGTTCTGAGTATGTAAATTCACACATATAAATGTAGGTTCATATGTACATATATGTACATTCCACACGTCATCTGTACAGTATGTTGCTAGAGCATCTGTGTTCTTCCAGATTCAAGAGTTGATAATGCGGTTGTATGTATGTCTGTTATGTCGAAATGCCGACTTATTCAAGAAAGCAACACAAAATACTGTTCCGTTTTAGTATGAGTAAATAAATAAATGATCAGTTTTTATCAACAATTTGTACATATTTTTGTCTCTTTCACATTTATCAACAAATGCACGTCGCGGCGGCAGAACCTGTTCGCATGGTACGGCTACGGTTCGGGCGTCAACACTTAGCTTAGTCGACTAAAATACCCGATAGCGAATGCTTACTCCACAGCAGTATAAACAGACTCTTCTCTCTCTTGGCTCTCACACACCCACATCAACGAGTAGACAGACACAGACACTCAAAAAAAAAGCGAGTGCACTATGGGAAATTTGACCACTTTTTCTGGTCAAAACTAATTTTTTAAAAGTATTTAATGTAATTTATATAAATCCGATATATACAAAAATCTTGATCTTTAATGTTAAACAGTCCACCACTTTGACAGAGTACGTAAATACAATGTTGGCTGCTTAACAGAGCTGGTCGCTATCACAGTCAAATTAAATAATTTAAGTAACATTATTGTCAAGCAGTCTTATAAGAGAAACTTTGTGTAATAGTTCATCCCTTAAAAATTATAAATTTGTAACGAAAAGTTAAGCTGAAGTTTTTAGGTAAACCTGCAGAGCTGTTTGCAGCGAGAAGGCAAAATGCAAATGAGTCATTGCATTTTCCATTGCATTTACGCCCTTCATTAGTTTTGATAACGACAAGAAATCATTGAAAGTAATAGTTGCTTTTAACGTTTCTAGAGGAATTGGAAACGATTCGATAGAAAATATGCTTATTTGCAAAACTCGTATACAATCGTACATCAATAGCCGAGTCGATATTGCCGTGTCTGTCTGTCCGTCTTGATGAGCGCCTGGACTATAAGAGCTAGAGTCATAAAATGTTGTGTGAAGTCACACTGTTACAAGTGTATTTCAAAATTTCGCCACGCCTCCTTCAGCTGCCTCGTCTTATTTTAATCTGTTCGTGCAGTGTGCGGCTCTAGAAGAAAGGGGCGAGATGCACTACTGAGCTTGAAGCAATAATATAAGGAGGAGCCATCGGGCCCGTTTGTCACGTATTGATGCTACTTTTTAGTGCGAGTGAAAGGGTTCTGCGCCGTAAGTGTGAGTGAAACGTCCGCACACAACCTTTCGCATGAACAAGCGACCAATCACTGAACATTTAGAGACCGAGCACACCCGAATAATTTCTTCATGGTACCGGGTATAAAAGTTGTGACGCGTAAGAAGCCTCTCAAACGTCCCTCCTCGTTTTCAACTATCTTTTCGTTTTTTAAATGCATACATACAATCCCATAAAGTAATATACAAAAAATAGTCATTAATAATTGCCAAAAAAAAGTGTAAGGATTGCCCATAGTGGATTTAAGATTCGGATCCGCACACAATCACATTTTAAAAGGTACTTCTATGTGTACATACTTGTATACTTGAGTACCTCCATACAATTTACGTACATATAAATGCTTTCCATTTAGTGAATACCCCAACCTACATCTTTTCGTCAGCGTATGTATGTATATATGGTACTTCCTAAAGCTTTTGGTGAATGACACTCACTTAAATGTAATTCTAATAAATGAGTACTAAAATTCTACCAAATTTCGAACTCGTCTGTCAAAGTACATATGTATGTACATCAATGTTTTATCCATACATGCATATCTATGTACATATTTATATGTATATATGTACCTATGTCCGTATATTATAGAGTTTCTATAGATGTACATATCTATTTACATATAAATATACATACATAGTTTCTAGTTTTCTTTCAGGCCAGTTGCTTGTGGGGGTTAAGTAAATGCACATGGATTTCAAATCAAATATATACATACATATGTAGGTACATACACAAGTACATTGAAGGATGGAATCGGTGCTTACGTTTAGATCAGCCCTCGCTGGTCATGTTGCTACAGAATTTTGCATTCTAATAACCATGAGTACTTTTCATTCATGGGACTTTCTTGTCTGTAAATGTTGACACTCGTCTTACCTCTTTCAAAATATTTATACATATGTATTTAATGTCCATTGGTGAATGTAAATATGTGCAATGGTGTATACCATTTACAACAGGTATTGTTGTAAAATATGTTTCTTGTACACATGTAACTATAAACAAACTTTGATGGGTAGTCAATATTAGTATGTACATAGAACCTACGTACATATTTGCTTAAGTGTGCATTTAAGGTAATGGTCTATATAATTGTTATATTATATTTTGAAGTTAGCCATGAAGCAGAATTGGCCGCGCTACCGATATGTACCGATATGTACATACACATACATATGTATGTATATATGTAAATTTGTCCTCCACCTTCCGTCCCAATGCTTTTGTTTTTGTCGTCAGCCAAAGTTAATCAGGGCGGAGGATTCTTTCTGAATTGGGGGAAGCGCCAACAATCATGTCCGTCTGTCTGTCTTTCATATTCGATAATTATCGAACGATAATGCATTTATTTATGCATGTATTTATTTATGTGACACGACAAGCAACTTATAGCTATTTATAAGGTAAAGTTACACAACAACATTTAAAGGACTTCCAAGGCATTCGTATGTATTGAATGTTTTTGTGGGTATCGACATTAATATACATGAATGTGTTTGCTTGTCTACTATCAAATGTGCATTGGTCTATTGCTAAATATACTCTAGCTTGTATGAATAATTGTAAATTAAATTAACCATATTAATAAAATCTAAGGATGATGCATCTGTACTGTAAGGCGATTGTAAGGCACATCCCAGCCAAAAGCATAAAGCCCTTACTGTTAAAGTCTGAATTAATTGCCCTTCACATTTCTTTGGTTTGGGGATACTTACTACATTAGGCAAGTGGCGGGGGCCCACACTAACAGATGATAATTTCACTCTGACAGACAAAAAAATCAATTCCTACCTTATGAAAGTATTGTGAAGCGGTGATTTCTTGATAAAATTAGTTTTGATCTTTGCTAGATTTACGATAGTAATCCATTTTACGTGAGTGCTTCAGAGCAAGAATATTCATTACTTGAATTTTCTTAGGAGTAAGTACCACACGAAACGCACTAAAAGTCATTCTAGAACTCGGATTGGCTTAATTTTACATTTAAATATGTATGTACTAAACTACAAATTTTTAAAGTTCTACCACACATTGTGGAAATAATTATAGTATAGCATAATAGCGGCTCTAGAGCACTGTGTAACTCCAGCCCCATATAAGGAGAGTTGGTCCGCAGCGAAAAACACGATTCCAATAGTATCAAAAAATAAATTCAAGTGGGATTCGAACCGTTGATATGGTGTGTCAACGAAGAGTGCCTTAATTCATTAGTAGGTAACTTAACTATGTCTATAATGAATTAAATTCAATCTCCTTAGCAATAGCCTCTCTCTGCATTTTCTCGCGTAACCGTGGTATATCCTCGTCTATTCGCACTATCGCTCGGATTTTCTGTAAAAATGTTTTGATGTTCGAAAATGTTTGTATTTTTTTAAAATTATTTTTGTCTTTGTTTACCTCGCACAAGTCTCCAGGTGTTCGTTTCCACAACCAGAACATGTATACTGGGACATACAGCATAGACGACAACGCAGTGAACCAACCAAATGCATGAGCCCACCAGGGATAGTTGTAGTCCAGGTACTTTATAGGAGTCCATTGGACTATATTAAAGAAAAAGACGCCCTGTAGGTGGGAAAGGAATAATTTAAATACCACATGGCATTACTCAACGTATCAATATCTGTTATATTACCAGACATATAGCCGGAGTTGTGACACACCAGCAGAACTTCCACCAAACTGTGGGGTAATATCCAATCATATCCTTAATTCCATCATAAAATCGATCGACCCCATAGCACCAGGATATTGAGACGCACTCAAAGAATATGAGCCACAGCAAGCAAAAGCCGCTAACTGCATACGAATCTAATATTTGGAAAATATACATTCCGCCCTAACGAAACCAAATAAAACGAGAATGTATTTTAAATACAACTATGAGCCTGATCCAAAAACGTACTTGTGTTATACAGGTTAAGCCTACTAAATAGCTCAGTGCGCATACAATGGCAATAAAAATCTCTTTTCGTTTTCGCAGCAGCTGGGGCCACTCGTCTATAATTGCTGTAATGAATCCCTCCATTGTACAGAACTGAGAATCCAACCCGATAAGCAACAACATGAAGAAAAAGAGGCAAGACCACATTGGCGAGCCCGGCAGCTGCAATACTGCCGACGGGTATACTAGGAAAGCTAATCCAGGACCTGTTTCAAAGCACACCAAATGTATAATTATTTCATTATTACTCAATGAAAAAAAATGTTCGAGAACATTTTCTTCATATTGAATTCAAAATGATGACAAACCTGATGCTGCTACCTCTGCGACAGGTCGCTGCTGTTCATGCGCCATAAATCCAATTACTGAGAATATTACGAAGCCAGCGAACATACTCGTGCTGGAGTTAACTGTGCAGACAATAAGCGCGTCCCTGTAGATCAAGGATGTTAGAATAAATACTCTGGGATAGACAGCAATTTATTTATAATATACATTTGTACATATGTAAATATTTAACTTACTTGTATACATTGTTTGTAAATTTATTATAGCTGCCCAAGGCCACAAGTGTACCAAGGCCAAGCCCGTAGGAGAAGAAGATCTGCGTTACAGCATCAATCCAAACCTTGGAGACATTTTATATTAAAATCGGCTCAGCGCAAATGCTATAGAAAAAATCAAGAATGTCTAGTTATTTTTGTACACACCTCTGATTGAGACAGTTTCGAAAAGTTTGGAATAATATAGAATTTAATGCCTTCCAGTGCCCCTGGTAAAGTTATTCCACGAACTAACAGAACCGTGAGCAAGACATATGGGAAAAGCGCGGTAAAGTAGACCACTTTTCCCGTCCACTTGACTCCCTTCCAAATGCAAAAATAGCAGAGAATCCAAACAAGCAATAAGGTTCCTGCCAATTCCCATCGAATATTGCCAATCTCTTCAATGCCATGCGATATTTGAAGTGCACGACGCCTGGAACGGTTCATTGAACAGAGCAGAACTAAATGTTAGTGTCTTTAACGACAAGCTTATTCCCTACGATCTCAGTTTTAAGAATCAAATTTTTGACGTATGTATATATCAAATGTATTTACTGTGGAATATATCCACTTAATTGACTACATACTCCCAAAACTCTTTGACTGGGTCTGTGAGTTCCGTCGAAGAGATATTTGTCGCTGCCACGGAGCAAATTTTCTTTGCGGTGCCATTGATGATTTTATCCCAACAGTGTAGATTGTTTCTCTCATATTGATTGACACAATTAACGGTATTCCACCAATTGTTGCATGTCCTCCAAGGCACGTCTACATGGAATGGATGATATATTAATATCGTTTTCTTCTTGCTTTGTATCTTTGTATCTAAAAAAGTCGTGAACGTAGAAATGGTACCCACCCGCTCTCATTGACATGAAAAAGTAAAATACCGCCCAAGCCAGAATAACAATGTAGTATACATTCATCCAGCAAGACATTACGGCGGCAGCATATCCAATGCCTTGAACAAAAAACAGTAAATACATACATATATTAATCATTAATAATAATATGTATAATGGTAAAGTTGCACAATTAAGGCAATGGAATTTGCCACTGCTGTTCTTCAATTTACATCTGTAACTATTAAGTCTATATTTACGGTGTAAATTATATCTTCTTAAAAACACATGTGGTATACTATTGTTTAATAGGCATTTCTGTGTGTGTCCGTCTTTATTGGGGAACTTAAGAGATTATTTCAGCTGTCATACAGAATTTTCGTATCTGTCATAATATAGAATCTGTTTGCGAGCTGATAATTATAGTCTGAATTGGGAAACATTGGAGATTCGCTTTATCATTTTATCATTTTATCATTTTGGTCCCTCTGTCCAGTTCATAGCGAAATTGTCTGTTCTACGGAGGACGTGAATAAACACACTTGATTTATTTATTTAAAACTGCATTACAGAACTTATTTGATGCAATTTTAAGAAAAGGACCACTCAAATGAAACCCCTCTTACCTTTAAATATAGGGGCGATTTTAAACACGCCCAGTCCACCAATTGTCAACATTTGTCCAAGAGCCAGCTCCATAAAAAACATTGGGATACCAGCTAGAAACAACGCCAAGAAGTAGGGCAATATGAAAGCACCGCCTCCATTTTTATAGCACAAATAAGGAAATCGCCAAACGTTTCCCAAGCCGATGGCTAGTCCAACCACTGAGAGAATGAAGTCAAGCTTCGAAGACCATGATCCTCGCTCCGGCAGTTGATCCAGCTTAACTAGCTGAAAAAGGAAATAGCATTTACAAATCTAAATATGTACATATGTACACATGTAAGCGTACTATAGATGTTAAGAGTTTCATTTTGATCAACACATCCATTTAAACAACTTATGTATTAAGGTTTGATCGTTTCATTCCTTACCGAGCCACTTATACATTTGAACAATACATATTTATATGCATACCAACGTATTATAACAATATAATTATCATACTCGGAAGTAAGTGATAAACAAGTTTTAAAGGATAAAAGGTATGGTGAGCAGAATAATTGAATATACATACATACATAGATGGACTTTGGACTTAGTCCATTTAAGGCCATTCAATTATTTGAAAAAGAGTATCTAATTTTAAAAATGGTTTCTGATCCGATTGCAGTACGCATTGACGTACCTGCTGCTGCTGATTGGATGTAGTTCCACTTGCTGGGGTGTTTGACTCTGAAGATACGGCGAGATCTTTACACATCTCGATAGACTCGTGATTTCGTCGATCTCCTCCCCCACCACCATCGCTTTCGCAATTGGTATACATTTTGCTACCGAGCTGAAAGGACGTCCTTCTAAGATATATTTGTTTAGATCTGCGTGCTCGTGAAAAAAACCGAATTATAGACAAGAGAGTATAGTGGGAGAAGGACTACAGTGCCTTTGTGATTATATATTTGGGTCTTGTCTTTATTCGTAGGTCCGTTCACGTTTCGCGTACCCACGACACCCTGATCACTTGCTTGCATCCAACAGACTATCTGATGTGTTGGTCTGTTTCTCAGCCTCAGCCACAGATGAGATGGATGGATGGATGGTTACGAGCATGGCACCTAATTTAAACGAAGCTCAGATTTTGAGCGAGTCTGGCTGCGCTGTCATTTGTACATACAATTTAATTTAATAATGATTTAAGAAGAGGGTATATATAGTACATACATATGTATTAACACATTTACATAAATACATATGTACAGAGAGTACAGAGCATAGGGGCACAGAGTCTCAGTCTAAGCTCGATTTTGATGATCAGCACAATTTGCAGCATCAACCCCTACAAACCAATGCAGGGCAATTTACATTTACTGACCCATTTGGGGCATGCGTGTATCAGCGACCGAATCGCTCTGGCCTCTGTCACTATCATTTTAAAGAATGTCGTGCACTATACACCAGTACCTGTCCATCAAAACCCCCATACACAGACATAATCAGCGTACTTTTTTCTAGTAGGGGAATGTATATAATACATCTATCAGCAAACACATACACTTTGAATTTTACATGAAAATCAGAAGCACCAAACTCGCCTCGGAAGCATACATATGTTTGTACAAACATATAAAACCCTTGCTATTTACCTAAATCCAATAATTTATTTTATTATACCCGGTACTCGAAGAGTAAATTTGGTATAATGTTTTGTGGGGAAAAAAATTTAACACAGAAGGAAGCGTTTCCGACCTCACAAAGTAAGTATATATATATATATTCTTGATCAGCATCAATAACCGAGTCGATATAGCCATGTATGTCTGTCGGTCCGTCTTATTTGTCGGCAAGTTATCAGAGACTATAAACCAACAAATTTGGCCACCAAACTGCTGAGACCACGCTAAAAGAGCGTGTTGGCGGAAGAAGTGATGTGCATATAGATGTAGATGACATATGTTGAAATATTTAAAATGTACCGGAGATAAAAGTTGTGACGCGTAAGAAGCATAAGAAGCGTCAGACGTCCCTTCTCGTTTTGGTTCGTTTTTCGACCATTCCGATCGTTCCTGGCAGTTTTTTATTGAAAGCGCATCCCATTTCAAGGCTTGTGAAACTTGGTATAATTTCTTGAGAAATTATAATAGGAACGTACTATCCAGATTACTTCAGAATGTTTTGTGCCCAGATATGGTGCCGTGTTTTGCAGAGACTCCATAGAGGTTTTAGTATTCAATTCTCTAGGTCGAAGCATCTGAAAGTTTATTATTAAAATTCGATAGCCATTTCATTCACCAGATCTCAATCCTCAGTTACTTTTATTTGCTTGGAGTAAGTATTTTAATCTAAGCTAAAATTTCGGGGTCTTACAGTCGAATGGGCACAATACATAATACATAAAAGCACAAGCATATACAATTAATCAGGACTCTTTAAATAGCATACGGCATAGCTCGTTTTCCATTCCAACTCCAGATTCAGTTTCCTGTTCGCACAATAAAAGTTTTCGGGATCGATCTGCACTCTCCTTCTCGTTACTAATGATGCGACGTTCTTGTTTCCGGTCATCCTCCATCAATGAGTTCGCCTTTTCCAGTGGCTTGTTGCTCCTCTGATCTATTTGTTTTGTTGGCCATTCAACTGGGTTTTTATTGCTGTATACTCGTACCCGTACGTAACGCATCCTGCCACTGTGCGATCGTTGTTTTAACAGACGGGGACGGTCGCTGTCGTGCTCTTTTCCTTTTCCCACGGTCATATTTGACTCACCTTTTTTCAATAGTCTTAAGTTTATGCGTTTTATGAACTTTTTTGTCTCCATATCCAAAGAAGTATTTATATCCTTATCTTCGGAGCCGCTGCCACTTGCTTCTTCGTTGTCGACGTACATGCCTCTTAGTCTGTCGAACTGATTTAAATCATTATTACTACTTCGTGTTGATGTTCCAGAGCCTAATTCTGAGGTAATTTTGGGTGGCTTATAATGCCCCTGTCCCCCAGATGCTGTGAATTTTGACGCACGAGTATAAAAATATTCCGGCTTGAACGACCTAACCAATTTGTCCGACCTATAGACATCGTCGATATATATATGCTGCTGATCATCGTCACTAGTTTCATGACTGTTAAAAGGGGGTTGTGTTGTTTGGCTATTACTCAACCCACGCTTATCATCATCGATATTTATCATCGATTTTTGCTGATAATTAGAACTCTGCACTGGCGGAGATGGTGATTTCACCATGAATGGCAATTCAGTGCTGTTGAAGATTGACAGTGCATATATGAGCCCCAGGACCGTTATTATCAGTAAGAAATATAGAGCTCCAATGGCTATATGCCGGTGTAGAAATTGATTTCGTGTAATCATTGTTACGATGTCCTCATCTAAAAGACAAAGGTAAAAATAAACTGAAACTTCAAAATTTGCGTCAAGAGACAAATCGACAGATGGTCCGACACTATCGATTCGGCTGATATGGTGATGCATATATGTATGTAGATGCAACATAGAGTTGCATATACATATGTACATACACTGAATATATATGTATTTATTTACTTTATGTGTCTCAAACTGAAAGTTGCATTTCGTACTTTTGAAAACGAAATGCCCAGATTAAAGGAAAGGTTACAGTTGCATTACCCCCATTGTTTTTGGTAAATATTTCCAGTTGCTTGTCTGCAGGTACGGTACTCGTATGCGAGTATATTGGCAGCAATCTACTATGAATGCAATCTAATGTGAATGGCAGGGTTTTAACTTTTAAACTATTTACAGGAACTTGAACTTTAGTTCAGCGGAAATCAAGAGGTTTTCCGAATTTTCCACTTTTTGCACCGTATTGTTTGTAGTGCAGGACTTTATTTTGATTTCTTAAACTCACATTTAATATGGCTAGATCATGCGCACTGTGAATACAATAGGAAGATACGTACTCCATACACACTTATGTAGATGTGTATGTATGTGTGTATACCTGTATGTTCTTTACATATTCAGTATCATTGCATTGCAGGGTGAAAATTAATAAGAGAAGTTCAAACTTTTTTGGTAGCATTCATTCAATAAAATCTTTTAATAATAAACACCATAAAAAATGGCTTTTTAGATGATACAGCATCAAAATACCTTATTCGAGAACTAATTTTCTCAGTACAAGTTCTTGACCTAATTATTTATTGTTAGAGCTTGCCAATGGACTAAGGTAGGGGAAATCTCTCATACAAATGTAAACACGAAATGGGAAAACGACTTTTCCCTATCGATTTTTAAGTAAGTTCTCCATACAACATGTTTTTGCTTTGTTTGGTATAATTCCAGGCATCCATTGCATATATTCGATAAGAAAAACTGGGACTTTAAATAGATTTGTTGGCATTTTTGCCCTGACTTTTTTTGGTTTTTCGATTAAAATTAACTGTTCTCACTAAAAAGTATGAGTTTTTGTTTATGATTTGGATAGGTAATACTATAAAGTTGGAAGTAAAAACGGTTGGTTTAACCGTAAAGAAATTATACTTTTTGAGCACATTCGTACAGAGGAAACTGCTGTCCAATTATGCGATGGAGCCACTGCATGTACCGGCGTTCATTTCTCTGTTCGAATTGTCTTTGTTTATACGTACTTCTTTTGATTGAAATTCAAGAGGAATTTAAACATATACATATGTAAATATATATGTAGTTTTCACAAAACATACTAATAAATAAAGAAAATCCCTAATTAATCAAAAAAGCACATTCAAATCGCGATTATTAGTTAAGTTGTGATATGAAGAAAAAAAATCGTACGACCTATTTGCAGACCTACTTGAAAAACAACAAAGATTGCTATTCTTTTTGAACTGTGCCTATGAGCAGACCGCTAAACATTTAGGGTGGTGCCTTAATTGTTAAATGTTAGAGTTTTTTTGCCGTTTTTGGTCATTTTGTTTGACAGTGTCAAGTATGAGCAGTCGAGGTTGACTCCTTCTCCGTGTTCCATGTTGGTATTTTTCATTTCGCACCTCTTGTAACTGATATGAGCAGGTAAAACGTAAAGAGATATGAAGATGAAAAATAGCTTACATCCGATTCGCAGACCTACCTATTAGAGGAGAGGAGTTCAGTCACTAACCCCGTGACACGAGATAGGTATATAGATAATAATCAGGCTGTTGAGATGTGATCTAAAAAAGAAGATTTGTTAAGTACTAAAGTTTTAAAACATAATAATTAATGCATTTTTATGAAATCATTTTATTTAACTCTTAAAACGAATCCATCTCTTAATGGTCATCCTGAAACTCGCCGCTTATCTGAGTAAGCTCTGGTTTTATGGGTTTGTTCATGCACCACGAGGCATAACGAAGTTCCTCAAAAATTTCGATCCAGAAAGAGCGGCTGGGTGGTATATAAACGCATTCTTTATCCGTATGCAGTATCCCCTCTTCAGCGGTGTGGAAGAAATTGTTCTGCAGTGGCTTTGATTTCTTATTGTATTTAAAATTGAACCAGAACTCAAAAAACGCAACAATTACTGCAACAAGAATCCCTGCGATTAGAACCACAAATACACCGCCTGTAAGAAAGGTATGTTATATGTAAATAAAAACGTAAATCTCTAAGTTTTTAGATTAGGTCCAAAGAGTTTTTATACCCGAAACTCTAAGAGTAAGTAGGGTGTATTGTATTTGTGCTGGAAAACATTTAACACACAGAAGGAAGCGTATGGTATTATGTGGGTAAACATACCTATACTTTCCAGTCCTAATGCATTTGCCTTCGATTGTTTGCTGGTGCTCCTCCTGGTACACGTCTCATCAGTGTTTTTCCACCACTTGTCGTATAGCAGTTGAATGTCTCCCTTTTCCTGAAGCTCTAATATCGCCAAGGATATTTTGTCCCGCCACGGAGAGCCCTTAGGTGTGGCAATACCATACCCTGCCCGGTGCAATAAGCCAAAATTTTCTATACTATTTATATAATATTTATGTATTCAATATATTTTCTAGACTTCGAGCAAATTTCCAGGAAGGAATTTCCGGGTCACTAACAACAAATATTGCATAGCATAGCATATGTACATATGTAGGTAGGATGTAAGTGCCAAAGTGCTTTTTACAAACCTTTTGTGTCCAGCAATCCCCCAATTTGGGTCAAGTTACAGTCGCGCTGTACAATGTAATCGAGCATTGTAGACTCCATTAAAAAGGCATAATTGCCCTGATTTACTCTCCTTATGCCGTCCTCATACGTAGTGGTAAATGCCGATGGCTTCTTGTTATCCATGCTTCTCCACATTTTCTTGTAAGTTTCAATCATGGAATCCTTATATTTAGGGCATGTTTTAAAGCAAGTATATTATTGTAACGGTCTAAAAATATACACGCATACATATAGCAGGTCAATAGCCTACCCGAAAAAATGTCATTGTCGAGCCACTCTCTAATGTACCGTACGAAATTTCTGTCTGTGTTGCCAAATCGTCTGCGTTCTCAATGGGGTTTATCATTCGTTCAGTAGTTAAAAAAGCAGCCAAATTTGCAGTATATGATGCCACAATAATCAGGGAAAAAAATCCCCAAATACTACTAATTATACGTGTTGAGGTTGCTCTCGGGTATACATCCGATGACTGCTGCATCAACGTTCCGATGGTGAACCAGAAGCTGTCAGACATTGTAAACTGATTTCCAATCGTAATGTTATCCAAATCGCACGGATGAATACTTTGCCATTCGATAGGGGACAGTTTTCCTACAATATATATACTAGCTGACACAAGAAAATATGCAATCAAAACATATATCCAGATTTCTATGGCCAGAGGATTCATAAAGGAAAACAATCTGGTAGGCTCTGATTCGGGTACCTGACAAAATATAATAACAATGAGTTCACCAAATCTATAAATCTTATCAGGAACAAGAATTCGTATACTTTAAATAATATGCTGATTCCAAGGTTCATAAAGGGCTTTGTGAAATCAATAACGCTTTCCCTTGCATATGTAATTGTCATAGAGCCCACAGCCAAGTCCGCCTTCTAAAATGTGTTAGTTGGGTAGAGAAAAATGAGGCTATAGAATTTAATGGGTTAACGAACATATTTCATTAGCTGTGCAACCATTCCATTCCATTCCCCGGTTTCGGGATCCTTGGCACCATACTTTCTATCGGGCACTATGTCCAGTATGTAATCAAAACCAACCTCGTGTGAAATCGTTTCCAATATATCAACACAAAAGCCATAGAATCTTTCATTTCCCGTAAAATTTTTCCCATAGTGCATCATTACGTATGGTGTTTCCTGAAGTTAAACATAGGCGTGATTTCAGTAAGTATGTACATACATACATACATATGTACATATAGTAGTATATAAAAGATACATTTTTCACAGACCAGAATCGTTATTACTACCAGTGTTACATTCATTGAACCCGAGTCGAAGAACATTGCTGGCTCAGTTATGTTGAGATATCTCTGGGGTGTCCACTCTCCAACTTTCACAATGGAATGCTGCTTCAGTTTTATTAGGTCCAACTTGAATTGAACACGCTGTCCTTCTTTGAATTGAATAGGACCCGTCAGACCTTTCCATTCAACCTGTGGGATAAATATACTTTCCATTATGCACGTACGCTGAGTTCTGTTCTATCTGCGTATTTTATATATTATTTTATTTTATTATTTATTTTATTTATTATTTTATATGTACATACATACATATATATGTACATATGTACATTTACATATGTATGTATGTACATACGTATATAAATGTGTGTACGAACCGCATTTATATAATTAATCAAGCTCAAGCCCCCATTCCACGGAGTTTCGTCTTCGCAAGTCAAATTCGATAGATACAGCGTATGCGACTGTTCCAGCGTCTGCAGTCCAATAGCGAATACATAAACCGAATCAAACATTAGGGCTGGCTCAGTCTGAAAGGAACAGGGGACGGGCCAAGGTTTGACACAGTTAATAATCCTGATTAGAGATCCTCGTAGGCTTACTTAATGGTTACCTACCTCAATGGTGAGCGCTTTTCGTAAATACAAGTTTTCATCGGATTCTTGGAACATATTCTGACCAAAGAACTCAAGATCCTTTAGAATTTCCTTTACAGCTACATCACCGATGTCGACCAGTCGGAACGATGTTATATTCACAAAATTATACTTAAAGTCTTCCAGGTCAAATGTTTCCAGGTCAAAGCTTGTGAAAAAGTAGTGATATTTATACTCATTCATCTGTTGTTGTAGAATCTGCTAGGTCGAATGAAACAAATTCGGAACACATAATGTTGAAAAATTTTGAGGAACCACCTAACTAACTCACTTACATTTTTCAACAGCGCTTTAATGCCGTTCGAGTTTATATCAATAATTATGTTATGTATCTCTTTGTTCTTAAAGTCGTTCAGCGCAGAAAGGTAAGATGATTGGGAAACTTTTCGCATGTGCACTTCCGCTTGAACGGAGCGTGAAAGCTGGTGTAAATTAATAATTCCTGCAGATACAAACATATGCATATATGTATATGCGATAGTAGATGTGATTTTTTAAGCAAGAAAAAGCCAACAGGAAATGTCCACAAACCAAATAATCAGAACACAGACAAGGCCGTGCCGTGGATTATTTGCCCCCGGCGAGAAGTTTTAAAACGGCAACGAAATGTTGGCGGGGCAAATGAAAACTCCCCCTCTCCCACCAACAGTGTCACGGACGTGTGAGACGCTTCTTACACGTCACAACTTTTATACCCGGCACTCAATACTACATCTGCACCTTATTTGTTAAATTGTAAATTTTTTCTTCATCTGTCATCTACATCAACAACACTACTCACGCCAACACGCTCCTTTAGCTCGCCATCCTCCCCTAGAGCCACACACTGCAGATTCAGGGCAGAGACGCGACAGAGGCAGAGACGTGTCAGAGGCAGAGGCCGCATACTGCAGCAGCAGAGTGTAAATGAGAGAATGTGAAAAAACAAGTATAAGCGGAGGGACGGGGTCGGTTTAGCCACTTCAAATTAATTTCTTCATTTTGGCTAATAATGCCCCAGTCGTATTGCAATTTGGTGATCTGATAGATATGGTCATTCCCTACGGAATTGTAGATTTGGGAGGTTTTCGTCCTTTTGCGGGGGCGGGGCTCATTTTTTAAATACACTTGTAACAGTGCGAGCATACAGAGGTCTGGATGCAAAATTTGGTGGCTCTGGCTTTTATATTCCCTGAGATCCAGGCGCTTAACTAGACGGACGGACAGACATGGCTCAATCGACTCGGCTTTTGATGCTGATCAAGAATATATATACTTTATGGGGTCGGAAACGTTTCCTTCTGTGCTTTACATACAACCGTTATTCGCTCAAATTCAATATACCCTATTTACTCTTCAAGTACCGGGTATAATAATACAGCCAACTTACCATAATCTTTTTCATGCAAAATGCCGAACCTAGTCCAATTTAGATAGCGTATAACATCGATAAATGCACTGTTAACGTATTGTTGTGATGGATGGACGTTAATGGAAAAGTCGTGGATGGAACGACCTATATCTGGAATATCCAAAGCGTCACATATTGAATTTATGTGAGTTGCCAAAACAGAGTCGGTTGGACTAAAAATGGCCTGGACACCAACCTGCACAAGTCTGCACACTAGTAGTTTGAATGAAAAAACTTAACACTGGATATCGGGCAGGGATGGTCTTGAACATACCTTTTTGTACTGTCTCAAACGAATCAATTCGACTGACGTATTCAATTTCGTAGATAATGTTCGTTTCTGGCAGAAGGCTCTTGTCCCGATTTAATCTATGAACCGCATATCTAAAGGCCAGTTCGGTGTTGTATATTCCCATATTTTTTGGAAAAAGTGCACCTGCGGCATTAGTATGAAGTAAGAGCATAAACTTTGATTGCGACCATTGGAGATTATTACCGACTCTAATTAGGGGGGGAATCCCCGACGTGTGAGTAACAAAGAAAAATGCACACAAAGCGGCCCCGCTCCAAAACATCATGAGAACACAGGGACGGACAGAGACGCGTTTGCACAAGCCTAGTTCGAAATTAACAATGAATTTATGCGTTCGCCGATTTATTGATTTCATTCTGTCGAAGCCATATAAGTGCATTCTGTATTGCAGTGCAACAGCTACGTTTATTTGGCCGCCCTACCAGCTGGTCGATTATGATCGATTTTTACCGATTTATGGTGCGTTAAGCAGCCACAGTACTGCTATGCATTTCTATCACAAAAACTGGCTTTAACCAAAATGAAACTTTAATTAGATGTCGCGACTGCCATTTCGATGGCAGTTATTGAATTAATCGAGAGCCGAATTTAAAATATTTATTTTCAAATATGTATGTGATAAAATCGTCTTTAACATCTTAGTATCGTCTTAACTACATATCTGTGGATTTTTTTTTAATGCTGTTTCACATATGTATGTATGTACATGTGTACTCACTTGTATATTGTGAAAACATATATATGTACATATGTATGTGATGCAAAGAGTGTGTATATTCTACTTATTTGGGGTTAGGATTTAACCAGTAACAGTAATTTAATTAAAATATAATGAATTATTTATTAGTTGATTATTAGGACTTTGATAAAACTACTCGTACACGGGTAACTGAATAACGCTGCACATATGTACATTTATACATACATATGTACATACGTATGTAAGTGGTTTTACCCTTATTAACTTATTTAACTTTTTTAACATCTACAATAAACTCTTCTGTGATGATATATTTATGATTTACGGTATACCACTACTAACCTACCAGCTCTAAAAATATACATAAACATACATATATTTACACAACATATTTACCTCTACAACAAACACTCAGAACTCTTCTTTGGTAATTTTAGTTATAATTTTCTTCAACACAATTGTAGCTTTTAATCTGTATTACTCCCGGGTATTCGTTTGTCTCAAAAGCGCCTCACATGAGGATATACATGAAAATCAGGTGAATAAAGGAAGGTTCAGAGACTACTCTGAAAACTGACAGACAGACATCGTGGAAAATTGTGGACTGTAAAATGGTTTCTTAATTTGGCTAAGAACTGGTTCTAAAGCAGTCGTCCAACCATATTTTGTTTCCGTTGAAAAAGTTCATTAAGGTAGAAATTGGATTTCGCTCTTTAGAATGCGATAATTACAGTTCCATATATTTTTTTAACTTGTAACATTAACCGACTTCAATATCAAGTTCCTCAATGTTAAATTTTAAAATTGGCTCCCATTCTTCTAAATAGATCCAAGGATAAATTGATCGATCACTAGACTTATTTTTTTTAAATTTGATCACCAATGTGTTTGCCCAATCTGTATGAGAAAACATACATATGTATGTAAGTGTGTATCCTAGAAAATACTGCCATTGTGTCCGAATGAATGCCTACTTAAGCGGTTATCAACATCCAAATGATTGAAGCCCAATACCGATCCATTTTATACTAACAAAAATACAAATATATTAAATGATTTTGTATTGGAGTGAATATTTTTCATATAATTCACTGCCACCTCTTTCGTATGAGTCAATATTCAAAGGCGGTTTTCTAAATAACTTCATTGATATTTTTATTGTGATCTAATAATGTATAACCGAATTATTTCGGTGGGAATGCTTTAATGAAAGCAAAACCGTAATAAGATTATAACTTCCTATAATGTATATAACACAGGTATTTTTTTCTTTTCGTTATTGAAATACAAAAAACTCATGAATGGTCTCTGGATTATCGATGTGGACAAGGACAAGGGAACATAGACTTAACACAAGTTTACACAATATATTTAATATATATACGTATACATAAACATATGTATATCTCAAATCTATCAGAATGTAGACTTGAGAAAATTCCTTTGTATACATATACATATACTATACAATATATATACATATACATATATATTAACGCATATACGCATTTTAATGTATAAATATTGTTGAGAATTTCCCAATTAATTTCCCGCGGTAAGCAAAGGGCGCTAAAGAGTCTAAATACTTGCACTCAAATAGGAAGGTATGCTCATGTTTGTTAGTCAAACGATTCAAGTATTTCACTTAAGTTTTTTTACAGCATGTTTTTCGGGATTTCCTTAATTAAAGTGTAACTTACATGTAGAAGTTTAACTCTATGAACGATGAAGAAAAATAAATCTACGGGCATACAAAATTCTAAGTCCATTCGTCTATCAGTCGATCCATTTTTTATATACTTCACAACATGGTCTTGCTTTCCATACATACTTAGTATCGAATCATTTGAAGCTTTTGGGTGTGTGTCTTGAGTCACAGAATGCGATAGTCGATGCTTAATGACCGATAGTCATCGATTTTTAATCATCAACAATGGAACAAACAAATTGAGATATATAATCATAGTCAGCTTCTCTGCCTGTCGGCCTGCTTTGCCCGGATAACGGTTGGTTTTGAGTTGTCTGACGCCACGTGGAACTGTTGCTATTCGTTAAGCCAGATGCGCCGGACTGACCACCACTCATTGTTATATTATTTGTGGTACTCTTTGGGTTGGCACTGTTTCCGGGACCTGCAGAGCCATTCAAGGAAGTGCTGTTCACCGTAGTACTGCCGACCGGACCCGTTGCAGAGCCGCCAGCACCACCGGAACTGGAAACCGACCCACCGCTTGTACTAAGTAGATTCGAATTTGCCACACTTGTGCTTGGATTGCTGCCACTGACGCTGCTATTGCCGCTGGGACCGCCGCCGCCGTTTCCGTTGCCATTTCCGTTGCTACTGTTCCCGGATAGGCTAGACACCGAGCTGCTACCCCCAGCAGCAGTTGCTGCAACGCTACTGCCAGCGCTACTTCCAATAGCAGAGATGGTTGATGATGTGACTTGCGGCAAATGTTGTAAGATATTCTGTACCTCGTTCTCACTCGGAGATTCAGCAAAAATGGTTGTGTTTCCAAGAACACAGTTATTTAAAGCCATTTGCGCCTTGCTTGCCTCCTCTCGCGTCGTGTATTTACATAAGGCAATTCCTTGGTTTAAGTATAAGTGAAAGCTGACAAGAGGGCCATGCTGCATGCACAGGGTACGTAAGGTAGGACCATCGATCTGGAAAGAAAATAGAACATATAAAGTGTTAGAGCACAAAACTAAAACCAGAAGGGACCGTGTGAGACGCTTCTTACGCGTCACAACTTTTATACCCGGCACTCAGAACTACATCTGCACCTTATCGGTTACTTGTCATATTTTAAATTTTTTCTTTATCTGTCATCTACATCTACAACACTTCTTACACCAAAACGCTCCGTTAGCTTGCCGCCCTTCCCTAGACCCACACACTGCAGACTCGCGGCAGAGGCAGAGCCCGCACACAAAAAAAAACAAATATAAGCTGTGGGACGGGGTGGGTTAAAAGTCGGCAGAGGCAGAAGCAGTGTGAATGAGAGAATGTAAAAAAAAAAAACAGCGGGACAGGGTGGGTTTAGCCACTGCAAATTAATTTCTTCATTTTGGCTATAATAATGATCCAATCGGATGCCAATAATCTGATCGGTAATCTGATAGATAAGGCCCTTCCCTACGGAATGGCGTTTTTTGTTTTCTTTTATCTTCAAAATTGTAGATTTGGGAGGTTTTTGCCCTTTTGCGGGGGCGAAAGAAGTCAAGAATCCAGAAGTCTGGATGCAACATTTGGTGGCTCTAGCTTTTATGGTCTCTGAGATCCAGGCGCTCAACAAGACGGACGGACGGACAGACAGACATGGCTCAATCGACTCGGATATTGATGCTGATCAAGAATATATATACTTCATGGGGTCGGAAACGTTTGTGCACAAATACAATATACCCTATTTACTCTTCGAGTACCGGTATAATTATAGGACTAACAATTGAGGACAAGATTAAGGAAAATAAGTCCTCATTCTGGCTATAATAATGAATCGATCTGATCCGGGAATTCCGGAGTCTGATAGATATGGACACACTCTACGCAACTGCTGTTTTGGTTTTCTCGAATTTTCAATTTTAAACGAGAAGGGACGTGTGAGACGCATTTTACCCGGCACTCAGTACTACATCTGCACCTTAGCGGTGTTTTGTTAAATTTTAAATTTTTTCTTCATCTGTCATCTACATATACAACACTTCTCACAACAACACGCTCCGTTAGCTCGCCGCCCTTCCCTAGACCAACACACTGCAGACTCGAGGCAGAGGCAGAGGCACCGTCCGCACACAAAAAAAAAAACAAATAAAGCTGCGCGACGGGGTGGGTTAAAAGTCGGAAGAGGCATCGGCAGGGGCCGAGTGAAGCATAAGCAGAGTGTGAATGAGAGAATGTAAAAATAACAACAAAACTGCTGGACAGGGTGGGTTTAGCCACAGCAAATTTTTTCTTTATTCTGGCTATAATAATGATCCGATCGGATCGGATTGGTGATCTGATAGATATGGCCATTCTCTCTCGTTTTAGTTTTAGTAGTCCGCCCTTTTGCTGGGGCGGAAGGGGGCGTGGCTCATTTTTTAAATACACTGGTTTCAGTGTGAGCATATAGCAGTGTGGATGCAAAATTTGGTGGCTCTAGCTCTTATAGTCTCTGAGAACTAGCCGACAAACAAGACGGACAGACAGACATGGCTCTCTCGACTCGTCTATTGATGCTGATCAAGAATATATATACTTTATGGGGTCGGAAACGTTTCCTTCTATGCGTTACATACAACCGTTATTCCCCACAAATACAATATACCCTATTTACTCTTCGAGTACCGGGTATAAAAACTGTGTGGTATCACAGCAGTCTGGATACAACATATTGTTGCTCTAGGTCGTATTGTCTCTGAGATCCTAGGTGCTCATCAAGACGGACGGACAGACAGAGACTTGGGCTATTAATGCTGATCAAGAATACACATACTTTATGAAGTCGAAGACTACTCATACCAATAAATCTAAATCTGAAAAAAATCGAATATTATTAATTAACTATTGGAGTGACGAGTTTACAACAAATATTCCTGACCGATGCAGCACTGGTGCAAGGAGATGATTTGTCATACTATTCGAATAAAATAGATTTTAGATTCACTAAATAAAAAACGCCAAACACTTACAGCCTAAGTTTCGTTGAGTTTGGAGAATAGGATCCTTTTCTGGGTACATAGTTTCTTTAGTTAAATAGGTAGAATTTATTCTGGAGAACGACCGTGCTGAATGAACTGCCTTCTTATAGTGGATGGCGTTTTAAACTGATTTTCGATTCTCAAACGTTAAATAATATTATCCTACATTTTTTGTCTCTTATGTGGTCTTACGTCCTGAGCAGACCGCTTTTCAAAATTATGTTACAAATTTGTTGTGGATGGATTTATCATCCATAAAAAATGGTGTAACATAATGTAATTGGACCTCAAAACTTTGTCGATAATATTCGGCATGTCGATATGAAAACAGTACGGTAAGTTAACTAAATTGAATGTATTTTTCCAATAAAAATGTTTCCCGACTGACTTTTTACATTTTGAATTCGCCCCATCGGGTTTAAGTCAGTTAACACGAGTGTCCACATTTAACTGTCCGCTAGTCTGTACATATGGAATTGATGTGTCTTTGGAAATCTTTTGTAAAGCATACCTGAGCTGTAAGATTTTTCAGAAGCAGCCAACTCGAACTCCACGAAGTATTGCCTCCAGTCCAAGTTGTATTTGTTGTTGGGACACCACTTCGGGTCTGCATCCAGCCATTGGCACCACCAGCGATCGTAGATGATGTAGAAGTGGAGCCACTCACTCCGTTGCCAGATTTATTGACATGAGTAGTCAATCCAGGCGGGGGTCCCCGAGACGATGCTTTGTTCATGGGGCTAGTCCACAGCTCAGAGGTGGATGCGCACTGCTGACTGTTGTCCGACCAACTTGACAATGTATAATAAATAGTTATATATATTTATTGCAAATATTTTACTTTTGGTATTCACCTTGGAAAGTTTTGATTAGGATTAAAACTCCACGTTGAAGATGACAAACTTAAAGGGGGCAGATCAGTCGGCGAGTTTTTGCCAGTATTGGCAAAAATATCAGCATCTTTTGGCGTCGGATTAATGGACAATGGAGATCTAGCAACGCTGCCGGGAGTTATGCTGGGATCATCTTCTATGGTTTTGATCTGAGAACCCTTAAAAATAAACTTCTGCTTGGATATGTTTAGACTTTGCATAGTTGTACAGTTTTACCTTCCACGGCTTGCCTGGCTCGAACTCTTGCACCAGGTCGGTGTAAGCGGTTGCTGCTGTAGTTGGTTGTGCAACTGACCAGTCTTTGTTCTCGTTATCAGATGAGGGATCCGGCCAACCGTCAGCAATATTGCGTCCAGTTGACCATGTACTAGGATAAAAGTATACGTTTTATTTCACGAGTTCACAATATCATTCAGTAGAGTAGTAGTTACTTTAACGTTACATGTTACCTTACGTTACCGTTACCTTATAGCATTAACCAAATATATATATATATGGTTAGTGTCATACATATACTATACTATTTGGTTAGTGCTTATGATTAGTATTACTCATGTATGTACATAAATATTCACTCCCACTCTTGTACTCCGTCTATCCGCTTTTGTCCCATTTATGACAAATATTACAATTGCTTTCACACCGCACATTCCGTTACAGCGCTCTTTCCCCCATCACTTCGACGCTGATCAACATCAATGAGGTAGTAAACCCCTTTTTTATCAGTTACTTGAATATAGTATACCCCGCTAGTTACTTCTATGATTACCTGGTACTTAAGATAGAAAATTCAGTTGTATGAAATGTTTATTTACTTACCCATCATTTTGAAGACCCAAGGAGCCCATATTGTTTGAGTTGCTTGATACATTTTGCTTAGTCGCACCTGGAGCACGCGAAAAGTCCGTGCCATCATCCTTTTCTAATACTGGAAGCTTCCACTGATTTAAACGGGACTGCTGATTGGATGCCCCTTGGTATCCGCTTGGCTGTAAATCAATTAATACGTTATAGATACCATCTAAGCGTATATTCCTCTTTATCATGTTCGACATGTTCACCTTGTTAAGATTGAGCTCAGAAAAGTTTCCTTGCAAGTTATTTATTGCATCGTGACCTCTCATATAGTCATTTCCAGAGTTGTTTAGGTGTGCTGATTGATGTTGTTGTGGTTGTTGTTGTTGTTGCTGTTGTTGCTGCTGTGAATTCGGTTGTAGATTTTGCTGTTTTATGTAAACGGCCTGTTGTGCATTTATTTGGTTTTGTAGATTCTGAATTTGTTGCTTGTATTTAGCGATGGCAACATTCACTGCCATTGGATTGGCATTGCCGCCTCTAGCCAGAGATTGCTGGGCTGCCTGGAGATGCTGCAGGTGATTAAGAAAATGTGGTTAGAAAAGCGAAATAATAATAATAAATAAGAATAAGAATAAAATAAGAAATTACCTTTATATTGCTAAGGAGTTGATTCAACAGATTTAAGGTAGTTTGTGTGAGCGGTTGAGTCAATATTTGACTGGATATGAAACCACTGTGGATGGCCAATTGAATCTGCTGGCCCAGCATGCGTATTTGCTGACCAGACGGTTGATTATTTGTGTTAGCTGCAATATTTACGGTGGCTGCAGCAGCCACTGCTGCGTTTGATGAACCCTGTCCGAATCCCACTGACACAGCGGATGCATTGCCCACGGACTGAGGCCCAACGGCAACGCCGTGTGGGCCTTGACTCAAATACTTTTGCACTTGCATGGCGGCCATGTTGGAATTGTTGCTTCCACTTCCTGTCACCGCAGCAGCGCCCATATTGTTCATAAGATTATTCTGTGGGAAATGAAACAAATGTTCAAAATCTTGTTATGCACCTATCTAGAAGGGCTACGAATGCCTAATCCGCCAGAGCACTTACAGGAGGGAATGACATCGAAGGTTGCGCAGCGCCCACTGGGTAGCGTCCAGCGAAGCCCCCACTGCTCGTTGAACTAGAGTGATCGGAGTAGGAGCCGAGACTCTCCTCGTGCCGACGCCAGCCATCCATGGCCAAAGACGAATTGGCCCGGAGCATGTCAGCCGCTTCCTCAATGTTCATATTGGAATTAACTAGCGCCCGTTCCACATCTTCCTTCTTAAATCCATTTTCTACCAGAATGCGATACTGCTTGCTTTGCTTTATCATCTCCGTGTTAAGAACATTTACCATTCCCACATTCAAGCCAGCCATCTTTTGCTGTTGCTGTGATTTGACAATGCCACCATGGGCGCTCCAGTCGGATCCGAGGTCACTACCGTCGACAACACCAACACCAATACTCGACGACGTGCTCCAACCTGATGAGCCACTTGTTGATGGCAGTTTACTCTGCTTGTTGCCCCAGCCAACTCCGACAGACGACGTGTCGCTCCAAGAATTTTGTGCTAGTCCTGCGCTTGATTTGTCGTCCACCCAGTTACTGCCAGATACAGACCCACCGCTGGGACCACCTATACCAACGTTATGACTGTCGTCCCCCCAAGCATTAACACCTGCCGCTGTGTTTCTTCCGCTGACGTTGTTCGTATGCACCCACATTGTGCCTCCATCTGGTTTGTGCTGCACACCACTCACGGATGAGAGACGCGCCTGGGGTCCCACTACACTGGTCATGGGATTGTTGGGATTGCCACCAACTGGAACATTGCTGTTGCCAACACCAACGCCTGCAATACCGATACCAACAGTTTGATTTTGTCCACGAATCAGATGATTGCGTCCAATAGAGTCGGTCATGTCTTTCCAATGACCGCCGCCGCCGCCAGTAACTCGGGTTTGTTGCCCCCATAGCGATGTCCCGTCATCGTAGTTTGGAATATTGCGGCGCTGTGGAGGTGGCGATGGCTCCTCCCAGCCACTTATCTTGTCCTTTGTAACGCTCCCGCCCACTCCCACCGTTTGGGTAGGTCCCCATTGGTTTGCAATATTTGTTGATACGGCACCAGAAACGCCACCAGAGCCCGGACCAATTCCAGGACCGGATGTCGCTCCAACATTCGAGCCGGAAACTTGCCCAACCATTTTGCTCATGTTCTGTAATTGGTTGTGGGACATTTGTGGATGGTGACCCCACATTTCTGAAGTTCCATTGAGCCTGCCAGATATTCCACGAGGATCCCCACGAATGGGATCGCGCGGATCAATCATGCGAATGTCTCGAGGATCCCCGGACGAAGTTCCAGCACTCCCGCCACCGCGTAACGTTTCGCGATGATCGACATTTCGAATGTCCATAGGTCCTCCGCCCACACCGGCTAACGGGCGTATTTCGCGAGGATCACCCCACCCGTTGCCAGTATTGCCGGCATTGTTTCCACCTCCAGCTCCAATTCCACTAGCTCCACTTATGTTACTTGAACCGCTTCCACCTGCAAGTAAAACAACCGCACGAGAAGAGAACCGATAAAACATTATACAAAATATACAATATCTAGGAATGCTTCTAAAACACTGTGCAACACGAACCCAACTCTATGTACCTACATATATATGTACATGTGTATGTATAGGTACATATCTGTCAATGTCAATGGCCAAGACGCCGTCGAAATTTTACCGAATTCTGGACAACTCAAGCTTCTCAGAATTTGGTGGATGGAGTTCAAAATATTTCATACTTATGCGACTATTTGACTTATCGGACAGAAAGTTAGTTAGTATAAGAAATGTTTGTGAGGAAGAAATATTTACTGCTGATGCCTGCCTGCTTCTTTAAACCAGGCAACAAAATTACTTTCATTTTAAAGTAACTTCCTTAAGACATTATATGGATTATTGAATTTAGTTGCACAGTGCGACTGTTGTAAATTTGTAAGCTTACATCCTGGTGTTACCACAGGCAAGGTTCCACTAGTTCCAGAACCACTATTATTACCAGTTGATCCTAGTCCAACGCCAACTCCAACAACACCCTGGCCCCACTGAGGACCAGCAGTGGGAACAACAGTGGGGCCTACATTGACTCCACTTGGATTGACACTAACGGCTGCACCAGTTCCCGTGTTGTTAACGGATCCTCCTGTCCAGACACTACCAGTATCCGCCCCGTCATCGTCTTCTCCCCACGTACCGCCCAGATTGGATGATGGCGTGTGACCCCAAGAGGGCTTCGGAATTTGTTGAGCTGGCGGCTGCCCGCCGTTTCTCAAGTTCGATTCCCAAAGATCTGTACCGTTGTTGACGCTCGGCTTCCACATGGGAGGTGCAGATGCATCCTTGTTGGTTGGCTCCGGAGAACTTGGTACCTCCCAGTTTGTATCCTGGTTGACATGTTGGCAACCCCAGCCATCCTGGGAAAAGAGTGCCTCGCGCATTGTGTTCAATTGGTCCAACTGATCCTTAGCTCCAAATATTGCATTCCCAACTATTGCAGCATCAACATGATCGTCAACGTCATTATCAAAAGCAATAATCGCTATCGTTAATAATTCGTAGGTATTCTATGGAGTGGAGTAAGAGTCCTCGTCCTTATCTTCTTTGTTCTACTCTGATTATATTGGTTTCCGTGCGTATTTCGTTTCACCACTGAGGGAATATTCAAGGTAGGATATTTGTTTAATAAATAATAATAAAGTACACTGTTTTTCAACGAATTTTACAAATGAAACATATAAATTAATTGTTTGGTCTGGTATAGTTTGTATTTATTGGCAAAGAAGAAATACTGCATTCATTCGTACACGTACATACACATATGTACTTGGGTATTTATAACTTGTCCGTATGTACCGCGTATATCTTTGGACATTTATTGCAACTAACAATACACTTGATAGAAATCCGAGACTTGATAGCATTAATCAAATTAATTTTCTTTTTTCTTGAAATTAATAATGTTAGGGAACAGAAGGAAGATAAAAATATTTAATAAGGTCCACCACGCATACTTATGCATATTCCAAGTGTGGAACATACTTGACAACTCTGGTCGAGCCAAGCAGCCGTCATTGACGCAATCACCCTATGTTAACTCTGTACCTTTTCTTCTTTTGCACTCGCGGTTAACCAGCAGCCACACAAATTGTGTTCGTTTTTTATGCTTATGAAAACAAAACAACACTATATTGCATGAATACGCTCTCGCACAGATATTTGCATGTTTACAATACAGAAAAAATGTATATACTGAACATGTGCAAATGCATGTTTTAATAGTTATGCTCAATCACTAAAGAAAATATTTTCTATAAACTGTGTATCCATACACACTCACACTAACATATACGCAGATCCATGTTATATATATATATATATATATATATATATATACAAATATATGCATATATATATATATACAAATATAGCTGAGAGTGTATGTATATATATCGAGTGTATTGTGTATGGAAAATACCAACGAAAACTGGAATAATGTTCAAAATGGAGATTCAAGAACCGAAAATTGCACATTAAAAATCTTTACTTTTGTTTTGTCTTTTACGCTACTGTACTTTACGAATCACATATTTTTCATGTATATATTTCTGCACATATTTCTGTATATATATTTTTGCAATAATTTCCTTTCTTATGCGAACGAAAAGTTGATTTTCTCTACATATCAATACAAATGTGTGTGTGTGTATCATGCCAAGCCACTGACGGTTCAGAAAGTGTGTGTATGTAGTGGAACATACATATTTACGTATTCAAGCGACCGAAATTTTCTTTTCACATTTCACTAAAGGAAAGTTAAATATTTTGCGCAGATATATATATACATATGGCATTACTTAAAATTGGAATCGAGTTCTAGTAAAAAATAATTACAATTTCGATGTGACTTGAATGCGAATTTGTTGCGCACGTTCAACGCGGACGGCAAAAGAAACAAGAGAGTGAAAAAACTGTTTGCAATGTTGCCACCTGGTCAGGAAGCCAAGCCCTTTCAAATTTGAAGTGGGGCATGTGAATGCGGCAAATACATCTAAAATCTGTTATAAAAGATTTTGTTTATGAGCAGGTAGCTACTAAAAGAACAAGAATAACATAACGGAAATCCTCAAGCTAATTGCAAGCCAAGTAAGCTCGTACGCAATTATGTAAAATATTTAAAACGTGGCAACACTCATTCTGCAACGAGACAAATACATGTACATTCAAAAGTACATAAATACACACATACACATGGTCTCAAAAAAATTCAATAATTCTTTTAAAATTATAATAACACTTCTTCCATAGATATGTGCGTACATATGGGACATTAAATTCAATTGGAAACATATAATTATTTCATTCAGGACCATGTTATGCATAACATGCACATGTACCTACATACATACATATGCATGAACATATTCTGGCTTATATTAACCCGTTTATTTTGAACGGAACGTCACTTTTGCATAGAAATACATACTCCAAGTGTTAATACCAACTAAAGCATAAGCTTTCTTCACCGCAAACTGTTTGAACACACAATTCGTAAATGCATTCGTAAATCAGAACAATAATTTCAACAACGCGTATTTATCGATGACCCTCAGAAGTGTCATACTGAAAGATACTATTTCAGTTTTAAAATATACCGTCGATATACCGAGGAAAATACTTACTTAGTCATCTAAAACGCTTATTCTTGAATTTTTAAATTTATAATATCTATAATAATATTGTTTTTTTTTCAAGGGCAGACATTTTTTTAAAGAATGACATTTTTTGTTAAGGCTTTTTTCAGAGGTAGCGGATTGTTTTTTCACATTGCATGAGAGTCTTAGATCTGGTTCTAAAGAACATTGCCATTATGAAAAGCTTATTGCTGCACCTAAAAATTGGACCCAAACACCACGTGCATTAGTTTAACGTCTGGGATATTAAAAGCTTTGAAATTCAAAAATGTTTGATTTTTGTGCTGTATTTTTAACGAAATGTTGAATTCGAAACTACAGAAAATAAAGAAAGGTGACCCTGTGACCCTAATTTTTCGTGTGTATGTGCAAAATTTTGGCGTCGGAAGGAATGGCAAAGTTCGTTACAAAAAGATTTAAGCGCTATCAAGCGTTACGAAAAAAAATATCATCTGGTTTGGTTCCTTGAGGTAACCAAGCGGTTAACTGTGACGCCCAGCTCCACAAAGACAAACAAGTTTAAATACACGCGCCCATTCAAATCGCAGTGGTACCAGAAGCCAAATATAACACACAGGCAGACTAAGCAAACTACAGATCGAAAAACAATCGAATTAGCCCGACAACAGTGTGACCTTAGGGCAAAGGCGAACAGGTAGACTAACAGTTGCAGTAACCACTAACCAAATAGTATAGTAGACTCTCAGCTTAATACAAGCGAAACGTCACCGCTCAATGTGCGTCTCGGAGTCCCAGGCCTCAGCCAAAGTCCCAGCTACAAGTATTAGTGCGTATAGAACACGCAGCTAGAAGCCCCAGTTACATTTGTATAAGTGCGTGTAGCCAATGATTTTTTAGCGCTCCAAACCGGGTTTGTCTTGATTCACACGGACACTGCAAGTAATGTATGTAATGTAATGTAATAATGATCCAATCACCCAATTTGGTGATCTAATAAATAAGGCCATTCCCTAAGGAATGGCGTTAATAGTTTTCTTTTATCTTCAAAATTGTAGGTTTGGGAGGGTTTCGCCCTTTTGCGGGGGCGCAAGGGGGCGGGGCTAATTTTTTAAATACACATGTAACAGTGGAGCATACAGAAGTCTGGATGCAAAACTTGGTTGTCCTATCTCTTATGGTCACTGAGTACTAGGCGCGCATAAGGACGGACAGACAGACTCTATCGAATCGGCTATTGATGCTGATAAAGAATATATATACTTTAGGGGGTCGGAAACGTTTCCTTCTGTGCGTTCAACCGTTATTCGCACAAATACAATATACCCTATTTACTCTTAGAGTACCGGGTATAAAAATACCGGACTTTAAAATTTCTTCGCAAAGGGTTTGCCGTAAAAAAAATATAATTCATTCAAACATTTTAAATCCAGAAGCCTATCAGAAAAAGGTTTGGTTCCTTGAAGAAAAAAAAGTTTGATATTGTCGAGTAGTGTTATCAATATCCAAATTAATTCAATAAACACATTTTTTACAGAGTTTACAAAAGCCATAATGGCGTTAGAGGTGTTTCTTTATTATAATTAAATTACTTTCGTTCATGTTCCTTTCTTTTAATTTAATCAGGCTACAAATAAAATAAATGAGCTGCGAAAAGTATACTCTTACTGGTTTGTTGTATTAAATCTACAATATGTAATTAACTTAATTTGTTTTCTACTTTAATAAAGGTAGTTGTTTATGTATGTGTGTATGTATGTATGTATGTATGTATGAAGATAGAAAGCCAAATATCAATACCGAATAATCTTACAAAATCAAAAGCTTTGTTTTATACAAATGTATACATTACTTAGATGTTGTGCTTCCGTATGGTATGTGTTGAAATGAATTTAATTCAGCCTCATTAATAGTTCTTAACATCGTTCTTAGCATTGGGGAGTTTATATAGCTATATACATAACCTAAAAATGTATATGCCGAAAATACACCAGATGAGCGACGCCGTACAAATGCATAAAGCATCCATTGATGGAAGGAATCTATTCTTTTTATTGAACATTTGGCATGGCAAATTTCAACGCTACGAACAAATATTCACCCCAGTGCAGAGGTATTCAAGTCAACAAATGTATGTAAATTGTGCACTGCACTTACTTTTATTTGATTTGTGTAGTTACGAAAATGCATTAGTTTCTGAAGTCTTTCTGTTTTGAAACAATACTTATTTTGTGTACAAATAGCAGTCAACTAGTATGGGATACGGAGTAGCATTAGAGATGATGCTTCTGTTAATGGACATGACATAAGGAAAAAAATGGCGTAAGCGAAATGTAAAAAAATCGTTGTATCTATTATATATATGTAGATATAGTCTTCCTGTTCTTCCTGTTTTAAAACAAAATTAATTTTGTGTAAAAATAGCAGTCAACTAGTACGGGATACTAGTAGCAATAGAGATGATGCTTCTGTTACTGGATATGACATAAGGTACAAAATGGCGTTAGCGAAATGTAAAACGAGAAGGGACGTGTGAGACGCTTCTTATGCGTCACAACTTTTATACCCGGTACTCAGAAGGACTTCTGTACCTTAGTAGTTTTCTAGGGCGGGGCTCATTTTTTAAATACACTTGTAACAGTGTGATCTTATAGAAGTCTGGATGCAAAATTGTGTGGCTTTTATAGTCGCTGAGATCCAGGCGCTCAACAAGACGGACTGACGGAAAGACAGACATGGGTATATCGACTGTGGGGTCGGAAACGTTTCCTTGTCTGCGTTTCATACATCCTTTGTGCACTTTGTGCACAAATACAATACACCCTATTTACCCTTCGAGTACCGGGTATAAAAATCGTTGTATCTATTTGATATATGTATATATATATATATATATACATATATATAAGACTATATATATTTTTTTTGAACTTTCGTACTGAGAAATTATGATTTTTGCTTATAATACGTATGGTTTTTTCTTGTTTTGTATTTAACACGTGTCCTTTGCCTGTATATGTATATGTATAAATGTATGCATTTGTGTGTCTTGTGTTAAATATTTATATGTACAGCTTAATGGTTTATGCTACTAAATAAAAAATATATCAATTATATAATTGTGTCCAGTTGTCGGGCTTGGTGCAAAATCTTTTTTTGATGTCCTACTAAAGTGATCCCCATGTCCGAAAGCTGTTGAGCTGTTAACCTAGAGATCTGTGGAAGGGTGGTTCAAAAAACGGTAATAACGGTAAGGTATTGTCACGAATCTTCAGAGCTTATAAACTACGAAACTATGTATATACTTGTAAGTGCATAGAGTCAGATACATATGCATATAGTACGACATAGTAGATCTATCTCACCTGTTGTGCATTCAGTAAATTAGCCTCTTTAAAATGTTGACAGTATCTTGACATTTTAATATTCTCCAACCATAAGTCTGTGCTTATGAACATGTTCTGTCCACGTTGTGTATCCAAAATATGAGAACCGTCTGTTTCCGGGGAATTGCGAGTTGTCAGCAATGACTGTGGTTGTCTCGCTAAGTTGTCAAGCGTCGAAACGATGCTGGCAAATGTGGGACGATGCGTTCGCTGCTTTTGCCAGCAATCCAACATCAACTGATAAAGAGCTTCTGGACAATCCATTGGCGCCGGTAGGCGATAGCCCTTTTCAATGCTCTTGATTACGTCCTACGTAAACCATAGGGAACTAGGTAAGTACGCTGCATGTTTGAACATCGATATGCGAGGGTGGCGTACCTGATTTGACCAATTCCAGTATGGACGTTCACCATAGGACATGACCTCCCATAAAACTACTCCGTAAGACCAAACATCCGATGCGGACGTGAACTTTCTAAATGCAATTGCTTCTGGGGCAGTCCAACGTACCGGTATTTTACCGCCCTAAAATATTTCCAGCGATAAATGACGGAAATTCGCATTCAAAATTATACACTTATTAGCTGGTGGTAGCTAGCATGCAAATGCACTATACTAGTGTACTATCTTAACTTACCCGTGTTGTGTACGCATCACTTGCATTTTCGATTTCTCGTGATAAACCAAAGTCCGCAATTTTGCAAATCAATTGGGCATTAACGAGAACATTCCTTGCCGCCAAGTCTCTGTGCACATAGTTCATGTCACTCAGGTAGGACATGCCACTTGCGATGCCACGGAGCATTACAATCAGCTGAAGCGTTTGGAATTTGCCGTCATTCACTCGCAGAAATGTGTCCAAGCTGCCATTTTCCATGTACTCCGTTATTATCATAACCGGATTGGAGCGTGTAACTACTCCTTGTAGATATATTACATTCGGATGATCGAACTGCCCCATTATTGAGGCTTCAGTCAAAAAATCACAACGTGCCTTTTCCGAAGATCCTATAAAACCAAAGATAATTACTTAGATTTAGAAATCCGTTTTGGGTGAGATCTTGTATCAGTCGTTCTTCCATCCTTCCATAACGGAACGTCTTTTATGTGTTTCATTTATTTAATACTTAAAACCCAAAATGGTTATCGCATCACATAGCGTTCACACAGGAACAATTTATTATTTCTAATATTATATGTAATGAAAATGCACAGTTGACTTTGATAAATATGCAACAGGCAGCGGGAGTTATTATATCTGTAGACCTTAGTAAACAATTGTAGCAACCAAACTGCACTCAGCGAACTTAAATAGCTGAATATTTATTTGGTCTAATTCCTTCCCAAATAAGAACAGCTCGTGCTTGACTCTTATGTATTAATGTACCTCACCTGGTTTCAATGTCTTTATTGCCACGTCAATATCCTGCACAAAGTTGGGAGGTATCTTCAAACGACCTCGGCATACATCACCGAATTCTCCACCTCCTGCATAAATGTAAAAAATGTAACAACTGAAACCAAAGCAAAACTGTCAAAAGTGACAACAAACTAACCAATAATTGCTTCTATAGTTATATAGTTGGCATCTATTTCACGTGCAAACTCCCGTATAGCCTGATTAGGATCCTCATATGTATGAGGATCGACGTAGCTCCGACTGTTTCCAAACAGGGGCGTTGTCACTGGAAAAACAAAGGGGAAGCAAATCGTTAAAAAAAGAGATCCCATGCGAATATACATATACACATATGTACATATATTAAAATAATATATAATCTATATTAATAAAACCCATAATACTCATAATGTAGCATGCGAGTTAAGCCAAGAACCATAGAATCAGAATTAGTACAACCCAAAGACATATGTATGTATGCAAAAAATATACCGTTTGAATGTAGAGTCTTGACAATTGGAGTAGTATCCATAGAATTAACTAAAAAAAAATAAAAATAATATTACATATTTATTGGTTTTTAATTTTTATATAGATTAAATGAAAATATTTGTTCTGCAAATAATTAAAAAACTATAGTAGCATTGTTCCGGTTTACAGCTAAGAGTCCATGTGGGAATGCAAAGTAAAGAAAGTTGAAAACATTGATATACGAAAACACACGACTGGTACACAGATCTGATGACCTTTTTACCGTGTAGGATAAATTTATACTATTTGAAAATATGAGAGTATTATTTGGCTTAGTTTAATTTAAGAGTCAAATCACTTACTATATGTCACAACCAGTCCTTCAAGGAGATATCAGTTTAGGGATTAGAGGAGGCGGATATTAATACATGTATGTTTAAGGTTTCATTTTACAAAATTCATGATTCTATGAATAAGAAGGTGCCCAATTTGGCTCAAAACTAACAATTTTTATGAGGCGCTGTAACGCGTCAGCATATTCATATTTATGTATGTATGTATGCATGCACATACACACACGTATGTGTGTGTGATACACACTAACACTAACACTAACTGATACACACACTAACTTACTGTGATACATTTTTTCTACGTCTGTCAACAGTCTGTCTGTATGTTGCATGCCAACACGCGCTTTTAAGCTCGTCACCCTTTCCTAAGCCAACCGAACGAGGCAATGAGCAAAAAATAAACAAAGCTGCGGAAAGGAGTGGAGGGGTAGGCACTGGACATAGCGTTACATACAGTTGTGTTCAATGAAATAGTAGTGCAGCGCCATACAATTTTCACCACGAGCCATAAGGAATTGTAGGGGATCAAGGAAGCTGACGAAAGTCAGCTGGAAAATGCGTCAGAAACTGACGGCTCCAGCTCAGAAACTGAGACTGAGGAGATCAAAAGGAAGTCTGCCCGTAAGCAGACTCCTGCCATACAACTAGATGGACGCAGTACTAGCTCTGCAGTGAGGGCAGCGTTTGACAACAACAGATTTGCGGCTTTGTGCAATGAGGAGGACTCCTCCGAAAATGATCAACCAGCTCAAATACCAGCTCAAAAGCCGAAGCAGGCACCTCAACCCAAAGCAAGAAAGTCCTCGCCAATCTTTATCCTTGATGTGACAAACATTAAAATGTTCACCAGTGCATTTGCCCAAGTTATCGGAGCGGGTAAGGAGTTCACGTACAGGGCAACCAGGGACAACAATATTAGGGTGATGACAAACTAGAAGGCAAGCTACACGGCGCTGAAGAAGTTCCTGGATGAATCAGGGAAAAGGTACCAGACCTTAAAGCCCAGAGATGAGAGGCCATATCGCGCCGTCATCAAGGGATTACACTCCTCTACAGAACTCGAAGATATTAAGGCAGCTCTACGCAGCCAAGGCCACCTCGCTAGGGATGTCCATAACCTGGTCAACAAGTCGAAGAAACAGCGGTACTGCATCTTCTTTGTAAACCTTGAGCCGGCCAGCAACAACAAAGAGGCCTTTAACATCAGAAGGATTTGCCACTCAGTTGTCACTATTGAGCCCCCTCTGAAATTTGATGATGTAGTGCAGTGCTACCGTTGCCAACGTTTTGGGCACACCCAACGATATTGCCGATTAGAGGAGCGATGTGTAAAATGCGGAGGTGACCATGCGTCCAACACATGTAAAGGCAATCACGCGGCTTCCTTCAAGGGACGTCCAGCCTATAAAAAGGCTAAAAACCTGGCAGCACCAAGGTCAACCAGGACTCAGTACCAGGCTAACAGGGTGCCAACGGGCAATCCATCGCCAAGTGTCAGACCCAACTTTAGCTATGCCGATGCCGCCAGAAGCTGCAACAATAGTGAACATAATCAGGTGCCCCAGTCGGTCCCAAAGCCTGATAATCAACTAGAAGCAGTAGTATTGCGTATGGAGTCAATGATGGAGAGGATGCTCGACAAAATCTTTAGCCAAACGTCAAACTGGTTAGCTACAGTCATGTCGAAGCTATGCAAATATACTTAAAAGTTACCATATGGAATTCGAACGGCCTCTGAAATAGCAGGCCATAGGTTAAGTACTACGGCAAGACCAATCCAATCAAGATATTGCTCATTTCCGAGGCGCACTTCTCGTCAAGGTGGCGGAGCGGCCATCCTGGTCAGAAGCAATTTACAGTACACAGAACTACCACCTATTCAGGAGGACTGGGTGCAAAGTGCATTCATCAGAGTCAACACCGCGCTAAGAGAGCTTACGATCGCTGCCGCCGATTGTCCACCAAGGCACAATGCGAGAGATGAGGAGTATGAAAAACTGATAAACCTACTACGGAGGTGATTTCAACGCGAAGAACTTCTGGTGGGGCTCCAGAGTCAACAACCCCAAGGGACGAGCGCTATCCAGTCTAATAACTTGAACTGCCACTCTACTGGTGCGCCAACTTCCTGGCCCACCGATGCGCTGAGAGTTCCAGACGTTCTGGACTTAGCAATTTCCCGTGGCGTGGACCCAGGAATAATACAAACTATGGCAGACGAGGACCTCTTCTCTGAAAACAGCGCGGTTAAACTGCTCATAAACGCCCCAGTAATGATGAGCTTAGCGCCCAAGAGGCTTATGTATAGAACTACTGATGCTGCTAAGTACCAAATCTGGCTGTTCAGAAACACAAACCAAAATCCAATCTGTTGAGGCTGTTGAGGATGTTGAGGCTTCTATTGACGCGATTACCAACAACATTCACCAAGCAGCAGCATATGCGACCCCGACAATTAGTCATCGGCACCGACCTATTATCCTTGATAGAAATATCCACGTATGGAGCCTCCAGATCGCCAAACTATTACACGCAAAACGCAGACTCAGGAGAGTCTGGTTCCTAACAAGGAACCCACGTGACTAGGTATCCTTGAACAGAGCCGCCAAGGCGTTAAATGAGTTGCTCATCAGTCAGAGGAGGGATTCCTTCGACAATTTCCTGGAGGAGCTTGAACCCAATAAACAACAACACAATTTGTGGCAAGTCACCAAAAACATAAAACGGCCACCAAAACGGGAAGTCCCAGTTAAAAACACGGACGACAGCTGGTGCAGGTCAGAGGCAGATAGGGCCAACACGTTTACACAACATCTAGAGAGCGTCTTCACTCCCCGTATTAGACGCACACCCGATGAAATCTCCGAGTCAGAGCAGGAACCAACTAGCACTCAGGAAGGCAGCAGACAAATACCCACAGTACAGGAAGAGGAGACGAATGAATGCATTTCCGCGCTTAGGAGCAATAAAGCGCCAGACGATGAATGCATCAATGCAATTGCACTGATGCTGCTACCCCGAGTCTGCATTGAAATTATCACTAATCTCTTTAACAGATGACTGCAGATTGAGCACTTTCCACGCAATGGAAACGAGCCCAGGTAGTAATGATACCAAAGCCTGGGAAACCTGACGCCAAACTTGCCTCATCGTCCGATCAGTCTTCTGGCGACGCTCTCCAAAATACTCGAAAGAGTATTCTTGCGTAGAGTGTTTCCAGTATTGGACGAGACTGGTTTGATCCCCGATCACCACTTCGGCTTCAGACGTGGTCATGGAACCCCGGAGCAATGCCACAGAATCATCCAACGTTTCCTGGACGCTTTTGAGTCTAAGAAATACTGCTGTGTTGTAATGCTTGATGTTAAACAGGCATTTGACCGAGTCTGGCACACCGGGTTACTCTTCAAAATCAGGAGGAATCTACCTATTACGCGTTGATTGCGTCATACTTGGCTGACAGGCAATTCTTGGTAAAATGCGGAAATGCGAGCTCAACACTGAAGAGTATAAGAGCTGGCGTCCCCCAAGGCAGTGTGCTCGGCGCACTGTTCTACAATCTTTACACTTCAGACCTGCCTGTGATTGAGAGCCCCGACCTACTCATCGCCACCTACGCTGATGACACAGCATTCGTAGCCACTGCTGATACACCGGGCGAGGTCTGGATTTATTCAACAACTGACAGAGGAGGTGGAACATCGCGGTCAGCAACGATAAGTCCACAGCCACCACATTCGCGTTAAGGCCGGGTAACTGTCCAGCTGTATACCTGGAATGGGTCATTATCGCGGCATGACACTAGACAGGAGGCTAACCTGAAAAGCTCACCTGCTTAAGAAAAGAAAGCAGGCGGATGACAAGCTGAAGAAACTCTATTGGCTAATTGGCCGCAAAAGCAAACTCAACCTGCGGTCGAATCTGCTTGTCTACAAGGCGATCAATAAACCAATATGGGCATACGGCATACAACTGTGGGGAACTGCCAAACCAAGTAACCGGCGGATCATACCAATTTTACAAAATAAAGCCCTTCGAATAGTCGGTAATGCACATATTTACCACGACAATACCACAATCCACAGCGTCCTCAACATACCGTAACGGAAGTGATCACTGAGAGTAGCACCAGGTACCTCACACGCCTGCACTAGCATGATAACAACCTAGCTATTGGCCTGCTGGAACATCACAACCACAAGAAGACTTATAAGAGATCACCCGCTGGACCTCCCCTGGAACTAAGCAGCTAGACATCAAAACGAGAAGGGACGTGTGAGCCGCTTCTTACGCGTCACAACTTTTATACCCGGAACTCAGTACTGCATCTGCACGTTAGCGGTGTTTTGTCAAATTTTATATTTTTGCTTAATCTGTCATCTACAACACTTCTCACACCAACACTCTCCTGTAGCTCGCCCCCCCTTCCCTAGACCCACACACACACTGCAGACTCGCGGCAGAGGCCGCACACTGCGCGAAACAGAGTGTGAATGAGAGAATGTGATAAAATAATAAAAGTTGCGGGACGGGGTTTAGCCACTGCAAATAAATTTTTTCATTGTGTCTATAATAATGATCCAATTGGATCCCAATTGGTGATCTTATAAATATGGTCATTGCACACCACTACCATTTTATTGAACAGCAGTTTTCATGGGTATTGTTCTAAAATTATGTAAAACAAGAAGATGGATTAAAAATGTTCCAGGATTCTTTCTAGGTTCTAATGTGCATATTTCAGGCTTTCCAAAAAGGTTTCACTTGTTCAATTCGAAAGACTGGAAGGGTCTCACAAAAAGTGGTGAAAGTTGCGATGCGCGGCACTACTATTTCATTGAACACAACTGTACATCCGTTATTCCCCACAAATACAATATACCCTATTTACTCTTCGAGTACCGGTTATAAATATGTAAACTTTGGTTTTCGATGCCTTTGGCTTCACTAAATAATATATCTGACATTTTCCAACCTTCGTTTGCACTATTCTAGAACGAAATCATAAAAATTATTAAGCTTATTATTTGCTCTAATAATAACGAGTTTAACAAGTTTTCAGAAACGCTTTTTCTTGGTCAGCTAAAATATAAATTTATCAGTTTTTTTTTTCTTATTTTGTCCTTTTTTCTTTATTTAAGCGGATTATTCATATAAGGGGATTTATCTTTGGCGAGCCGAAGTAGTTTTACCCCTGGATTTAGAACAGTTAGGTGTTTAGTCTATGGCTCTTTGTCGGTATAAACGTATATGAAAACGAATGCTTTGAATTGTCTTCACAAGCAATAGCTAGGCTTTACCCCCGATTGTTTCTGGGCCAACTATGTGAGCCATTTGTGTAAAATTTAGTTGAGTGAACTTTAGTTAAGCTTTCAAACTGAGAGAATGGTTTGGATGGATAGAAAAAAATTTACATGCATGTCTCGTATATGCTTAGTTAATGCATGGAAGAGAGTTGGAAGTTGGAAGTGCAGAGTCCTTAAAATTACTTTTTTGACTTAGTTTCACCCTTTGATTGAAGCATACGAGTCTAAGTTTGCATCAGACGGACATTTCTTTATTGACTCAGCAAATGATCATGATAAAGAATATATTTAATTACAAATATGTATTTGTATGTACTAAAAATATGTATTTGTATGTACTATTTATAGATCAAACTTACCTTCATTACTGGCATAGTCCATTGGTAAAGGCAAATGATTTGTAGACTTCTTATCGAGTTCATCTTGATGCTTAGATCGCATAAAGTAGACGGTGGCAACAATAAAAATAACCAGAAAAAGCACGCCCGTCACAATCGCACCAGCTATGAATCGTATTTGGACAGAATCGTCATATACTGTGATTTTTATGCATAGAGGCAGTTGTTAGATTATAAACGGTGGTAATGGAATCGTATTTGTGAACCTACCAGAGCTTACAGACTGAAGCGTTTGGGCATATATCATATTACTATAAGAGCCGAAGCCATTAATAGTTTTACAGCGAACTTGAAAGCCATATTCTGTACTCTCCAGCAGTCCTTCGATGTGTGCTTTCGTGTCCTTTGTATTCAAGGCTGATTTATTTATGGAATCCAATTCGATCTTAGGAAACCATCGCACTTCATAAAACTCCAAAGGAGCATCGTTCTGCAAGGGCTTGTCCCATTCCAGATCGGCATCTTTGCTGGTTATGGCCAAAATTCGTAAATTGAACACGGTTGAAAGAAGAGCAGATTCAGTTGTAAAAATTATTTCCGCATGCTCTGTCTTTATTTCATTCAAATCAAGCAGATTGCTTGCAGTAGACGCGTTAGCAAAGGCAATTTCACTGTTTGCTGTCGTTTCGTTTGAATGAAAAATCGAGTCAACGAGATAAGATATGCCGTTAGTAGAGTGAATCTGTACCGTATATGTCGTTACGGGATCGAGATTAGTCAGCGTAATTTTTGTTTCGTTAAATGTATCTGTGGACGGGTTAAACATTACATTTGGGCTGCACATGCTGCAGCGTATCTTGTACACAACATCGCTATGATAGCTGTGAAGCTGGCCCGGGCCTTCAACTAGCTGCGATTCATTCCTAGTTGGTGCACTCCATGATAGTATTGCACTTGTTTGGTCCACAAACAACAAGGTGAGGTTTGTTGGTGCAGCTGGTGGACTATAGCATGGAATGTGTCGACCGTCCCGCGGATGTCTATAGTATCCTGGCAAGCACATGCAAAACGCTGAGCCTGTTTTTGAAGAATTAGAGTGAAGTGGGCACGGCATACATTTCCGAACCTCAGGCGATTTAAATGTGCCAACGGGACATTCTAAAATAAATGCAAGTACACAGATGTTATAAATACATACACTGAATGCATACTAATACAACATACATACAACACCTACAACAGAATAGTTTTAACCATTTTCAAAAACGATCTGAACCGATCTTAACGCGGAGATCTGATAGATATTGCCATTCTCTACGAAACTGCTTGTTTAGCTTGTTTTCTATTATCTTCAAAATTGTGGATGTGGGAGATTTTCGACCTTTGTGGCGGCGGAAAGGAGCGGTACGAAATTTTGAAATTCACTTGTAACTGCATACAGAAGTCTGCATGCCAAACTTGGTTGCTATAGCTCCTATGGTCTCTGAGTACTAGGCGCTCATCAGGACGGACGTACAGACAGACACTATTGCCTACACTACAACTCGGCTATTGTTGCTGATCAAGAATATATGTATATACTTTATAGGGAAACGTGTTCTTCTTTGCGTTACACACAAGGCTCCGATCACAAATAAAATATGCCCTATTATTCTAATCCATTCAAGAACCATTTAACGAAATAAGTTCAAAAATTTCTGTAGCCCTACTATTATTTTGACTGAAAAAAGCCAAATAATAATGAAAAGACACGAAAAGGGAAAAACTACCATAACCTTATAATCCTTCATAGGAATTCATGATAGTTGTTCGAGTAAAGACAACAACTTTTTTGTTCAAGGAATAGCAGAAAACATTTTTACATTATATTACTATTATTTTGACCAAAACTGTAAGCACATATGTACATACAAACGCGAACGGCAGTACTAGAGATCCGAGATACGAATATATATAATGAATACTGACCTGTACATGTTTTTTTGACATCGTTTGGTTCGTAGCCGACCTTGCAACGGCACCCGCCGGTAAGAATCGTCCATTTTCCATCCCCCTTGCAAAGATATGTGGGTGGTTCATAGGGCTCAGCATTTTCTACGCACGTTCCATTCTGTTTTTCAATAATAGTGATCTCCTTTCCCGTAGGCGTTTCGTTGAAATGTGCAAAGTTTTCAGTGACAGCCGGACACGTAATGTAATAGACCTTTACTGCGAGGACGCTTATGCACGCGCCCTGATCTCTAAAGGCAAAATATACTCCCTTTTTGTTCACAGCTATGCTCTTCACTTCTGTGTTGATATCCACATCGGAGTTCTGATTGAATCGACCTTCTCCAGCAGCAATCCGAGCTATAAGTCTGTAGCTATCAGTTTGCCAAGGCGGGGGCTCGCGAGTTGCAGCGTCAAACTCGTAGAAGAGTAAACTAAATGTTTCTTTGCAAGACAAAGCATTTCCTGAAAAATGTATGAGGACGTATGGTCCAGGCCGATGGAAATATGCTAGGCTTGTGGCTTACCTGGGAATAGGGAACAGTCCCGTATTGTAAATTGAATTTCAATATAAAGTCTGTTGGCCGGTCCTCGATCAATAAACGGCGACCACAGCCAGTTGTTAACATTGTGATATGCAACATCACAAACAACATAGCTCCTCCAGTTAATGCCTTTAACAAAGTCTGTAAATGATTCTTCTACCCACTTAGTGGTTGTAGAAGTATAAAAATTAATAATCATATGATAGCATTGGCGCACATACTTATGTACATTCCTGTATTTTATAATATTAATAGTTTCTTTAATATACATAAGTCATTATCTGTAGTTGTTATAACAAAAAATAATACGCACGCCGGGAGTTTGAGCCTGCGGACCATACGGATATCGTGTCCATTCCAGAGTAGCTTCTCTGGTGGTGTCCAAGAGAACAACTATAATTTTTAGTTAGTCAAGAGTTTATATTCAAATTGGAGAAGCATGTAAATCATACCTTGATCGGCGTGGGTCAATCTTATATTGTATTGAATTGCAATCAGCCAACTTATGCATAATAACGATATCCTTGCAATATAGCGAGATATATTGTGCACTGGTTTAGATGATGGCATTGAAATCGGATGAATTAGTGTAGACGGCACCAAAGCATCACTTATTTTGTGAAATTTAATTTGTAAGGAAGCCAATTTACCCATGGAAGAAATGGTGTTTCGCCTGACTATGCAACCGCTTTTACAATCTCGTCTATGGACTCCATAGCACGTTGATGGCATTTTGAATCTTCGAGGATTTTGTCAGTTGTTTTATTTCGATTTCTTTCATATACAAAAATATTAGGTCGCTTGCATGGTGCGGACAGCATCACAAGTCATTCAAGTTCCATGGCATGCTATTTGGACGAGAGTACAAACTTATAAAATACAAGAATTTGAGGGTAGTTAAATACAAGTGAATTGTATTTAAAGAACAGCATAAGTTCTGCACTTTATATTTCCTCTTTAGGACACACTACCATGCGCATTTTACGTTTGTGTTCGCGTGTGTATATCCACATGCATTGATACCGATACCTGCATTTTCTGATGCAGCTGCATACATACAAACACAATTGTATGTATGCTGTAGCATTGGTGGTACAGGACGCTAGCTGATTTCCTGTATTTTTCTTGTTTTGATCCGGGTTTGCTTAAAATAAGCGTACTACTTGAATCGTTTCCCATTAGTTGAGTAGTTTAACGCAGAATCGATTTATTATTACATTTCAGGAGTTCGTTTAGCGAATATGCACTTCTACATACATTTATTCGTATACACAATACACACACATTTTCAGTCGTCCGCGTTCAAATTTAAGCATTGGCCCACGTACTTTTAAATACTTTTAACAATAAAAAATAAGTAAAAACTTGTGTTTAATACGGCGACGAGATATTACACATGTATTAGATTATTTATTCGTTTCACAATTTTTAATTCGTATTCCTTGTATTTTAAGAGAACTGCAGTGTGACCCTCTGAAATATACCAAAATATATATTTTGAGATTTTCGATATATAACGTAAGTATACCAAGAAAAAAATAATATATATAAGTAATTGAACCCTAAAGTTAAGCATCGAAAAATAATGATATTTTTATTAAAATATCGAGTTCGCGGCTATGTGTTAATCCTTTTCTACAAAGCTACTTACTAACCATTTAGTATACTGTATGGTTAGTGGTTAAGCTTAGTAACAAACAAATTGATCCAAGCAGGAGACTACTTATGGTGGGATTAGTGGTTCATATATTAGCGGAGGAGGACAATCAACGAAGAAAGCGCCATGTAGCCTTGGCTACATGAAGTTGCTAGCATTCGAAGAAATAAAACAAATTATAAATGCAAATATATTCTATAAATTCTCATTCATCCATGATAATTGTTCCCTCTTCAGCCTTTTGGATGGCTTGTTGAACGGCGGTCATTTTTCTTTCCACTTCGACTGCTTTGTTGCTTCCATTTGTACGGTATTTACGTTCTATTTTCTAAGTAATCCCAGTACTAAGAGGCGCTACATTTTTGATAGACCAATTCAGGGAAGACATTCCTATGGAAACGATAAGAAATCATCCCTGTTCTTTGTTCGACAGAAAATTTCGCAGCCGGCTTTTCGCAGTGGCAAAAGAGTGATAAAAAACATAAATAAAAAAAGATATTTGTAATCTTATTAATGCAGTCAAGCGAAAACTGATTATATGGATTCATAATTATAATGATTTATTAATCTTATACTCGGACTCATTTTTTCAATATATAAGGAGATAAAACACATGTTTACTGCATTTCTGACTTTTATTGACGGATTCATCTAATAATGCGGTACCATCTCTGTGTATTGCTGTCCTCCAAGCTCCATATCCACTCCTGCCTGAATTCATACAAAATGTAACGGATTTTATTCGCATTTGCAGTGCGAACTTTGGTCATACTGGCCACAGAGCGAAATATACAGGACTGACGCAAATATATTTGTATTTTCGAGACTATTAAACTACCATTGAATACCATAAAATAACATCGGATGATTTTCTAGGACGTATTGGCAAGTTTTCTTTTTAATAAAAGTACTTGCCCGGCATACAGAAAACAGAAAACTCTAGAAAACAGTTTGTTCTCTATCATCCTTGATTTTTCTAGAGTCCACTTTTTCGGATCTAAATACTGGGTTAAAGAGTAAGAATTTCGAAATTTTAAATAGCTCTAAATGGTATTCCACCTAGTTATTACATGAGTTTTACAAGGTGTGATAGGACAAGGAGGTGGTTCGCTTCATTCGATATATTCCATCAGCTGCGCCAGCGCCTGAATTCAATCAATAAATCAATAATATTACAAATAACTGTAATTAATACTTCATACCAGTTCATGTTTTATCTGCGGAAGCGTCGATCCGAACTTCATTCAAAAATGTGAATTTCTCAAACAGTGTCTCAAATTGCCATTTAGAACGTTATCAAAATTTTCAAGCCACGATTTTATTAACGCAAGTTTGTAAATGTTGAAGCGTGTAAGTACGAGTACTTACATAAATATACATATCTCTGGGAATGCATGCAGTTCATAAATATTCAAGGCATATGACTTTTCAACAAAATAACATGTTGCAAAGGACTTCAACTTCCTAAAGTCACATGGTGCTTAATCATTTATTTGACTACCTTAAAGCATGTTTTTGTTTATATACCTATGGACATGCCCATATGTAAATATGTACATCCAATTGTTTTCGATCTCAAATTCGATGCTTGTTTCTATAGACATACAGGTGTATGTACATTTAAAAATATATATATATATATTTAGGCATTTGGTGCGTGTGCAACTTTTCGAATACATGTGTTCATAAGTACATACATATGTATATATGCATATTATGTACCGAGATACTAGCACAGTATCGGACATAGAATTGTAGACAGTAAAATATTTGTTTTAATGTTTTGGTACGACTCTCAAGAAAAAAGCTGAGTAAACTAAGTAAAAAAATATACAAATATAAAATTATATACGGAATCACACGGAAAGTTTGAAAAGTATGCTAATAAACAATTGGTTTACTATTTTGTTGAGCCTCTATGTTTCAGATCTAGTTTATCTTTTTTTTATACCCGGTACTCGAAGAGTAAATAGGGTATATTGTATTTGTGCGAAAAACGGTTGTATGTAACGCACAGAAGGAAACGTTTCCGACCCCACAAAGTATATATATTTTTGATCAGCATCAATAGCCGAGTCGATTGAGCCATGTCTGTCTGTCCGTCCGTCCGTCTGTCCGTCTTGTTTGTCGGCTAGGTCTCAGAGACTATAAGAGCTAGAGCCACAAAATGTTGCCTCTAGACTGCTGTATGCTCACACTGAAACTATCGTAAAAGGGTGAAAACCTCCCAAATCTACAATTTTGAAGATAAAAGATCCGATTGGATCATTATTATAGCCACAATGAAGAAATTAATTTCTAGTGGCTTAACCCAGCCCGTACCGCAGCTCATATTTGTTTTTTTCACATTCTCTCATTCACACTCTGCTTCTGCAGTGTGCGGCCTCTGCCTCTCGCGTTCCTCTGCCTCTGTCGGGACTCTGCAGTGTGTGGCTCTAGGAAAGGGGGGCGAGCTAAAGGAGCGTGTTGGTGTGGGAAGTGTTGTAGATGTCGATGACAGATGAAGAATAAACGTTAAATTTGACAAAAAACCGCTAAAGTACAGATGTAGTACTCAGTGCCGGGTATAAAAGTTGTGGCGGGTAAAAAGCGTCCCCACGTCCCTTCTCGTTTTTTAATAATTTTTTTAATTCAGATGAAATTGAAAGGTATATAGATATGTATGAGGGGCTAAAGATTCTGTATCGTATTAATACCAGGTAAATTTCTCGGCTAGTCAAGGTCACATCCACAAAAAAAATCGTTTTAGATATCAACCTTTTTAAGTATTTAATATCTAATGCCGATTTAAATAGTTTCTTCTAATTTGGGTAGTCTTATCTTTTTTATATGAAAACGAGCTGAGTTGACATATTTCACTGTTCGCTACTATACATATATGTATGTATATATTACCGCAATCAATCTATATCTTGTACAATCCATATAAAACTATACATATCCAAATTATGTGTACATCTGTAAATATATTTAAAAATGCTCATTGGGCCAGAATAGATCGCTTTCGACCCTATCCCTATACTTTCTTGACCATCATTAACAAATATCCAAATTGATACATACATACTTATGAGTATATGTTCATACATACATATATCCATTATCCGCCTCAGTGAACACCGACAAGAATGTTATGACAAGAGCACCAAAATTTGCATGCTTTGTGGGATGGCCTATGTACAGTTATTGTAAAAAAAAATTGCTACTATCTAACATTTGTTTCACTTTGCTGTGATATAAAGTAGGTAAACATGTCTTCTTACTACTGTAGTGAATTTTCCGAAAATGTCAACAAAAAGGAAGCACTTTTTGTACCCGGTACTCGAAGAGTAAATGCGGTATGTTGCGTTATTCTCACAAATACAATATACCCTATTTACTCTTCGAGTACCGGGTATAAAAATCTAGGTTTGTTTTGAAGCGTAAAAACGCTGTTTCATAGTGCGATTTAACTTGAATAGATTGAGCCGATTCCGTGGGCGTTATTCAGAAATCTAACAAAAGAAAAACAAATTAGCAACACCTATCTAAAAAGGAATACATTCACACAGGCATATCTTATAACGGGAAGGGACGTATGAGACGCTTCTTTCGCGTAACAACTTTATACCCGGTACTCAGTACTACATCTGTACCTTTGCCGTTTTTTTTTATTTTACATATTTTCTTCTTGTCATTTACATCTACATCACTTCTCACGCCAACACGCTGTTTTAGCTCGCCCCCTACCCTAGAGCCGCACACTACACAAAGCAGAGTGTGGATGAGAGAAGTTTTTAGTTTTCTTTTATGTTCAAAATGGTGGCTGTGAGAGATTTGAGCCCTTTGTGGCGTCGGAAAGGGGCGGGGCTTATTTTTTCAAATATACATGTAACAGTGGGAGCATACAGAAGTCTGCATGCAAAACTTGGTTGTCCTATCTCTTATGGTCACTGAGTACTGGGCGCGCATAAGGACGGACAGACATGGCTCAATCGACTCGGCTATTGATGCTGATCAAGAATATATATACTTTATGGGGTCGGAAACGTTTCCTTCTGTGCGTTACATACAACCGTTGTTCACACAAATACAATATACCATATACTCTTCGAGTACCGGGTATAAAAATCTAAGGATCAGAAAAGTTAGACAGAGAAACAATCATCATCGACTGTAAGGGCGAGGTAAGCTTTTGAACTTTTTTTTTTGTAAACATAACACAATTTGGAACACTTGTTAGATTTAGTGGAGTTTTTGATCCTGAGTAAATCCTTTTCTTTTAAATTTTTTTTTATTTTAAAGTCTCCAAAATTTTAAATTCGTTAAATTGCAACTTAACATATTTTATTAACAAACGATCACTAAAACTATCAAAATTTCAATCGCATAATCATTACAGCCGGAATAAAGCCAACAAGAATCTGTTTTTAAAAGTTCTACAAACGCCATTCCGTAGGGAATGGCCATATCTATCAGATCACCAAATTGGGATCCGATTGGATCATTATTATAGCCACAATGAAGAAATTAATTTACAGTGGCTAAACCCACCCTGTCCCGCAGCATTTGTTGTTCTTTTATAATTTTCTCATTCACACTCTGCTTCTGCTTCACTCGTCCCCTGCCTCTGCTGTCCCTCTGCCTCTGCAGACTTTTAACCCACCCTGTCCCGCAGCTTATATTTGTTTTTGTTTTTCACGTTCTCTCATTCACACTCTGCTTCGGCCTCTGCCTCTGCCTCGAGTCTGCAGTGTGTGGGTCTAGGGAAGCCCGGCAAGCTACAGGAGCGTGTTGGTGTGTGAGTTGTAGATGTAGATGAAAAAATTTAAAATTTGAGAAAACACCGCTAAGGTGCAGATGTAGTACTGAGTGCCGGGTATAAAAGTTGTGACGCGTAAGAAGCGTCTCACACGTCCCTTCTCGTTATACCTTTTTTTGCCAGGTAGAGTACGTCGTAGAGTACACACTGCTCTCGCCATCTGCCTATAAATGAAAATAAACCCCATATAACAGGAGTAACAGCGATGGGGAAATCCACACATATATATGAAGTATATGAAGATAACTCAGTTGCTGAGCATAATCAAAATATTTTGTATTCATTTTACCATAACTTTTATATTAGTTTAGTATTCAGTATTGTTGGGAGTTTCAGCAAGGTCACCTTTTAATTTTAAAAACAAAATTTAAAAAAAATGGATTTTCGTGTACTTTTATAAATTTGTTTTCTTGCGAAAAAAAACCGCCACTGAAAAGATATTATGTTGACACATACAAGAGAAAGAATTTAAAAAAGCCAGACCTCGTATGTATTTATACTGTGTACATTCAAAGTATAGCATATAGCACCGCAACGCAATCAGTTGAATATAACCTTTGGCTTAGACTGCTCAGACTTTTATAAGACTTAAAAAACAACCTTTAATGCTTGTAGAAATATATTCGTGCCGCTTCTACCGATAAGATGAAATCATTGCTTTTTTTTTTTAATTTTACGACAAGTCTGACGAAATCTGTTGACGACAACTATGAGCCACGCTTGCACACATTGACGGTAGACTAGACAGTTCGGTTATATTGAAAAGAAAACTTAATTTTGTTGAAGTGATGCCACTATTTGGAAAGAAGGACTCCGGCAAAAAGGCCAAGTCAAAGGAAATGAAGGAGTTAAACAAACAAGTCTCAATTGAGGAGAAGTACAATCTGCATGGTCTTTTGGGCACGTAAGTAACATAATTTTTTCATTCACAACGTTACTGTTAATAATTGTTATATTTGTGAATCATCGTCATCGTCTTCCCAACCTTAGCGGAGCCTTTTCCGAAGTGCGATTGGCAGAGAGTAAGGATACTCCAGGCGATCATTTTGCTGTTAAAATAATCGACAAGAAAGCACTCAAGGGAAAGGAAGAATCTCTTGAAAATGAAATACGTGTCCTAAGAAGGTAAGTCGCAGATTAGATAAAGTTGTTAAATCGTTAGTCAAGTGTCCATCAATCCAGTATTCCCCAATAACACTTTTAGAGTACATATGCATACTTACATACATATGTATGTCTGTACTTGTGTGTCATTTGATGTAACGAGAGCCTACATTCGTTTGTAAACCTTGCCTTGCTACAATGTTTTCAAGATTTATGACTGAAGCTTAAATTTGTAACTTTGGTAGTCGAATTGAACCATTTCGGATACAATGTCTAAGCGCTTAGGTTCATTTATTCTTTTTTATGCATTAAAGTATCATTGATTTTGTAACTCTCCGCTATATAGAAACTCCATTGTCTGTAGGATACTTAATGGATATAAGCCAGCAAATATTCGTAAATTTGAGTTTCTTCGCTTAGTTGTATTATTTTTATTATTTTAAACACTTTCTGGTTGTTTGCTTAATTTGTTTTCTTTTCATGTAGGTTCAGTGCAAATCATTTCGATGCCAACTGTCCGAACGGAACGCGGTGAGTTCATACCCCTGATCCCACACTGAACTATGCCTAAGTGAGTTTGGGCAAGAGAATTGGCAAGAAGATGAATATATAATTTAATGGAATTCGGGGGAATATCAATATTGATTCACACTTCGAATTAATTTTAATGCTTGCGTGCTTATTAAATGCACCGCATTCAATACATGAAGCACAAACTAAAAATACGACTTTACGTCCCTTCCATATGAATGCACATCCATAAAAAGTTTCTTAAATATATTTCTAGATTAACTCATCCCAACATTGTGCAACTTCTGGAAACTTATGAGGACAAGTCGAAGGTGTACCTAGTTATGGAGTTGTATGTTTTTAATATCCATAACCCAGCTTAATTAAATATACATTATAAACTTGCACTTTCTTTAGGGTGACAGGCGGTGAGCTCTTTGATCGCATTGTGGAAAAAGGTTCGTATACCGAAAAGGATGCCTCTCATCTTATACGACAGATTCTTGAGGCGGTAGATTATATGCATGAACAGGGAGTTGTTCATCGGGATCTTAAGGTAATAATCATACACTGGTCCCATATTAAATTTTCAATCTAATTTTACGGGGTATATTGTATTTGTGTAATCGTTTCAGACCCCATAAAGATTATATATTCTTGATCAGTACAAATAGCCGGGAAGATATAGCCACCTCTTCTGTCCTTACGTTCGTCCGTCGTGTTTGAGACCTGTTTCTCAAAAACTATTAAATATATCAGTTTCTTAGAGAATATCCAAATATTTTAGACCCAAATTAGGGTTAGATTGTTATAGCCAAAATGAAGAAATTATTTACAGTGTCTACCGCCCAACCCCGCCCAATCAGCCATCCAATGCTTGATCATTTTCTCTCATTCGCTTTGGGGGAGGGGGGTGAGCGCTAAAAGGTCTTTTGGGTGTGAGAAGTGATGTAGATAATAGATGTACGAAATATGTAAAATGTAAAAGTCGAAAAATCCATAAGGTTACATATGTATGTATGTATGTACACATGTTGATGGTATATATAGATGTGTGTTTCCCACAACGGCTTCTTCGCTGTACCCGGTACTCGAAGTGTAAATTGGGTAAATTGTATATGTAGTCGAAAAATGTAATATATATAATATAATATAATATAAAGTATATTAAGTATTCTTGATCAGTATCAATAGCCGAATTGATATAGCTTTGTCTGTATATCCGTCCCACCGGCCGTCTGTCCGTCCTGGTGAGCGCCTAATACTTAGAGGAAAACAGAGACAGAGCAACCAAGTTTTGCATCCATACTTATGTGTGCTCACTCTGTTACAAGGGTATTTAAAAATTTCGCCACGCCCTCTTGCGCCCCCACAAAGGGCGAACAATAAAAACGCAGATCCCCGAATTAAGATCTGGGGCCTTCCCCACCCCAACCATCAAGTCTGAATATTCCTGTTCAGCCTCTCTCGCGCTCGCACCCTCAGCCTTATTCAGTGTGCTTCACTGGGGGAGGGTGGCGGAGAAACTATGTAGACAGATGTAGAATAGGCTTAATGTAAAATGTAAAATACGAACAAAAAATCACTAAGGTACAGACATTCTGACTGAGAATTCTGATCGGGAATAAAATAGTAGTAAAATAGAGTAAATAGGGTAGATTGTATTTATGCACAAACGTATGTATGTAACGCACAGAAGGAAACGTTTCCGACCCCACAAAGTATATATATTCTTGATCAGCATCAATAGCCGAGTCGATCTATCCGTGTCGGTTTGTCGGCTAGTTCTCAGAGACTATAAGATTTAAAGCCACCAAATGTTGGCTCCAGACTGCTGTATGCTCACACTGTTACAAGTGTATTTCAAAAATGAGCCCCGCCCCCTTCCGTCACCACCAAGGGCGAAAATTTCCCACAACCACATTTTGAAGATACAAGAAAACTAAAAACGCCATTTCTTAGGGAAAGACTTTATCTAGCAGATACCCGATCAGATTGGATCTTTATTATAGCCAGAATGAAGAAATTTATCTGCAGTGGCCAAACCCAACCCGTCCAGAAGTTTTTATACCCGGTACTCGAAAAGTAAATAGGGTATATTTTATTTGTGCGAATAACAGTAGTACGTAACGCACAGAAGGAAACGTTTTCGACCCCATAAAGTATATATAGTCTTAGTCAGCATCAATAGACGAGTAGATAGAGCCATGTCTGTCTGTCCGTCCGTCCGCCTGTCCGTCTTGTTTGTCGGCTAGTTATCAGACACTATAAGAGCTAGAACCGCCAAATTTTGGCTCCAGACTGCTGTATGCTCACACTGAATCCAGTGTATTTCCAAAATTAGCCCCACCCCCGCAAAAAAGCGAAAACCTCGTAAACCTACAGTTTTGAAGATAAAAGAAAAATACGCCATTCCGTAGGGAATGACCATATCTACCAGATCACCAAATTGGGATCCGATTGGATCATTATAGCCAGAATGAAGAAATTAATTTGCAGTGGCTAAACCCACCCTGTCCAGCAGCTTTTGTTCTTTTTTCACATTCTCTCATTCACACTCTGCTTCTGCGCCATGGGGGCGAGCTAAAGGAGCGTGTTGGCGTGAGAAGTGTTGTAGATGTAGATGGCAGACGAAGAAAAATGTAAAATTTTAAAGAAAGAACCGCGTAGGTATTTAGTACTACCGAGTACCGAAAGTTGTGACGCGTAAGAAGCGTCTCACGCGTCCCTTCTCGTTTTTCTTTATTTACGAGCTCTCCTGTTCACATTATCCACATAAAATACTAGTTTTAGTTGCTCCTCTATATTTAATACTTTACCTACACTCGTTCTACCTTTAAGAAGAAAATTCGTTTGCCATTAGATCTGCTCAAAATAGATTTTGCAATTTCAGCCGGAAAATTTGCTTTACTACAGTCCTGAAGACGACAGCAAAATAATGATCAGCGATTTTGGTCTATCGAAAATGGAGGATTCTGGCATTATGGCTACAGCATGTGGAACCCCGGGATATGTTGCCCCAGAAGTGCTGGCTCAAAAGCCTTATGGAAAGGCCGTTGACGTATGGAGTATTGGAGTAATATCATACATTCTCTTGTGTGGGTATCCCCCGTTTTATGATGAAAATGATGCCAATCTTTTCGCTCAAATCTTAAAAGGTTATCTTCAATGAATGAAATAATTACATTTAAACAGCCTTACTAATATACATTAAACTGTAGGCGATTTCGAATTCGATTCCCCTTACTGGGACGAGATAAGCGAGTCAGCAAAGCAGTTTATTAAAAACTTAATGTGCGTCACCGTTGAAAAGCGATTTACTTGCAAGCAAGCCTTGGGTCATCCTTGGTAAGTTTTAGCACCATAATATAAGTTTACAATCAGCACGCTTCTTTGTTTATTGCGAAAAATGTTGTAAAATTTCTTCAAAAAATGTTAGTCCATGCGTCAAAATAACTATTTTGTTTTTCGATAATAAAGGATATCTGGAAATGAGGCCAGTAGCAAGAACATTCACGGAACTGTTTCTGAGCAACTAAAGAAGAATTTTGCTAAGTCACGTTGGAAGGTGAGTTCAGCTACATAGCCAATCCCAATCCCTTTGACTCTCACACATTTTTGTATTCTTATACTAGCAAGCGTACTATGCGGCAACAGTGATCCGACAAATGCAGCGAATGGCACTTAGCAGCAATAGCAGTGCTGCAGCTGATGCCGCTAACAATGGCGATAGCCGAAATAACTCTTCAAATCCAATAACAGCCATTGTGCCGTCTGTGTCAGCATCACAAACAACACATTGTAAGATAACGAGCTCCAATGAGCCAACACCGCAAAAACAAAACCAGGAAGGCCGGGACATGAACAATCACCAAAAAACAAGTAAACCGAATTAAGGTTCAAGATTAAAGCCAGGCTAGCGTATGCTTAATCTTATTGCACAACCATAGCCGTCGTCCTCTGCGCTAACGTTACGATGCGACAGATTAACACAGTAATATTAAGCCATAGGAATTATGCCACACATATGTACATATGTGTAGAATGGATAGTTAGATTGTTTTTGTATTGCGATAAATGATGATCAGTTTGAACAGATGCTATTGAGAAACCAAATTAGAATACAACAATTTTTGCCAATTTAATCAAAACGTTAAAAACTGTAATCAGCAATTACATATACAATGTATACGTATGTATGTACTTGCATTTCAGTAATGTAAGTCTCTATACTGGCAATGTTTAAAGTGAAATAAAGCACTAAGTAATGCATATTTCTCTCTGAATACCAAGATAAACTAAACTTGCTAATATTGAGTGCAATCTAAATGCAACTAAAGCTTAATTTTTTTTAAATGTTTCAATAACGTTTCAAGATAAATTCCTGCACTTCATGATTTCATCTCATCTGTACGGTGAAAAAGAAAATCCCTTAAATGCAGTCCACTCATGCTAAATATATACATATAAATACATACTTTAATACATATGTATATATGTTTAAAAAATATCTGGTATAGAGAAGACTTGTCTACTGCTCCGAAGACCCTAATTCAGGGCTCGGCACAGGCCGAGTGATTCGTACCAATACCAATGTATTTCGGGGTTCCGTTCTGCGTGCTGTCTACGCACACAAACGCAAAAACGAAGCGCGGTGCATGCGTGCCGAGCCCTGCTATAATCAATCAACGCCATAGCATAGGGAAATATCACTATGTTTGCCAAGTAATTGCACCCGGTACTCGAAGCGTAAATAGGGAATATTGTATTTGTGCACAAAGTGAATATATGTAACGCACAGAAGGAAATATATTCTTTATCAGCATCAATAGCCGAGTCGATATAGCCATGACAGTCCGTCCGTCTTGTTGAGCGCCTGGATCACAGAGACTATTAAAACTAGAGTCACCAAATTTTGCATCTGGCTGTATGCTCACACTGTGTATTGAAAAAATGAGCCCCGCCCCTACAAAGGGTGAAAATCTCCCACAGCCACAATTTTGAAGATACAAGAAAACTAAAAACGCAATTTCTTAGGGAAGGACTATATCTATCAGATCACCTATCGATTGGATCATTAACCAAACCCACCCCGTCCAGAACTTTTTTTATTTTTGGCACATTCTCACATTCACACTCTGCTTCGTGTGGTGTGCGGCTCTAGGGGAGGGGGGCGAACTTAATGAGCGTGTTGGCGTGAGAAGTGATGTGATGTAGATGTAGATGACAGATGAAGGAAAAATTTAAAATTAGAAGAAAAAAAACGATACGGTACATATGTAGTACTAAGTACCGGTTATAAAAGATGTGACGCTTAAGAAGCGTTTCACACGTTGTTTTTGTCAATGGCAACACTTTTTATTAAAGACTTTTTAAAAACTGGTAAGTGTTTGTAAGGTTTTTTTTTAGTGGTAGCGCTTGTTTTGTTGACCGTTTTTAGCCCAGCAGTCTTTCCTAAGATTTTGTTAAGCAATACCTTAAACGAAGCCGAATGAATGAACCCATATAACGAACTTAAGACCCAGGATATAATTTTTGCTCGACTTTTCCTGAGTTTTTGAAGTCGATATTTCGTTTAAGATTCAGCACAGATAATCAGTTTTGCATTTTAAAGACTAATATTTCCCAGACGGTAAACTAAAAGCACTAAAAGTGTTTGGGTTTAATTTTTAGCTACATCAATTAGCTTTTCAGAATGGGAGTGCCCCTTACAACCAGACCTACGATATTTAAGTTATGTGAAAAAACGAACCTCTACCTCTGCAAAAAGAAATAAACAAATACCAGTTTTTTTTAATTCTGCCATAGAAAACAAAAGTTCGATTTTGTCGACAAGTATTATTAATACTTGAGATATTCGATATTGTTGAAAATAATTTAGCGATATACAAACATTACATGCATATTCTTATGTACATATACATATGTATTTATATGCACTTAATGATGATTAAATATTCTTATTGAGCACAAAGGCAGTCTTAAAAGCCGCTTTTCCTTTAATGCATCCTCCAGCTTAATTTTGTGATGTTGCCAGCTCAATGGTACATATTATATGTTACAATGCTTAGAATAGGTTGTTGGAGTTTTCATATCATGAACAGCGAGTTTGTGTTGTGCTGCTTTGGTTTTACTGGATAGCTAACTTATTCCGATAGGTTGCACTCAGCCTGGTACAAAGCTGTTTAGTTCCAAAACAAGTGCAAATCGATTTCGATGTGCAATTATAATTTGTAAACATCGTCTGTATAACATTTGTACATATGTATACGTAGGCATGTGTATGTATGTACTTATGTTTACATCACATTGTACTCATTTAAATGAAAAATAGCCGGAGAAAGTCTATTGCTTAATTTTGTTCTACATAATTAATCTTTATTGAACATATATGTATACATAAACAATACAATACAACTATTGATTTAATGGGGTGTTTTGAAAATCTAAGGCCAACTAAGTTCCAAGTTACTTTTTCTTGTTTCGCTTCTTTTTCTTCTCTGAGCCATGTACTTTTTTTTTGGTAATGCAAACTCTGCAGAACCAATCGTCATTGTCCTTCGGAGCAACAGTGATTCCAACACAGGTCCTGATGTCGAATATGGTTCGTAAGAAAATTATAGGACAAATGATTACCTATTTTTATTAATTACCAGTGGTACCAAGCGTCGCAGCCATCACATCCAATCATTGCGGAGCCGTCATCAACCTTTCCGCATGCCGGGCAAATCCAGATTCGATTACCTTCGGCGTCAACATACGATGAAGGGCGGTTTAATTCCAAAATTTTTGGAGGACAGTCTGAGAAATTGTTGGGGGAAACAGGCAACAGCCCTGTTCCCAATGGCGTCTCAGCGCTGATTCCCATTACCGAAGTCAAGTTATTCATAAGGGGCTTGGATGCCAACATCAATTGTTGTGGTAACAAAACAGAGCTGGCAGAAAGCGTGGACGAAGCTACAGCACTATTACTTGTATTAGAAATCCAGCCGCCTGAATTAGCAGCAGCAGGATGTCTTGGCAGCATTTGTGCCGGCATGGGAGCCATGGATAAGGTTAAAGGCTTTACCGGGCTGCTGGTCGTGTTAGAGTTGCTTAAAGGCCCTACCGTATTACTGGATATGATTGAAAATGAAGTTTCACCTAAATGTTGAAGTTTTTATATTTCCATTAGTCGCCTTATCATTTGCTAATGGTTCAATGTTGCACTCACATGGCTTCGCCTTGGGTGGTCCAGTAACCAAGGGGGAAAAGCGAGCTAGTTCTGGAGAATCCTCTCGTTCGTGTTCCCTTTTTTTTGGATAGCCCCCCATAGTTAAAAGTTGTACGATTCCTGCATCTTGTGCGTCTATATAATTGTCGGCACACGGTATCGGTGTGGATCTACCACCTAGTTTTAGAGTAAGTTTTGGGACAGGATTTGTGGAAAACTCCAATATGGGTGATGTGTCGTTGGGTGCTTTTGGCGATTGTTTTGGTGATGGTTGGATTGGAATGGATGGCATTAGAGATGGCCCAGAAAAGACTTCGCAACTAGAGCTGAGTTCGTTCGACTTTGGCAGATGATGAATGTTTTGAAAGTCCTCTGCATCTGCCGGGACAAGGGCTATTATCTGAAATTAAGAGCGGAACAGGGGGTGTCTAATCTGTATAGATTATATATAGATCAAGATTTTAATTGTTGTAACGGCTTGAATAGTCTTCAAGTTTCAAATATGAAACGCTCCAAAGTAACTTAAAAAATATTTCAAATTTGGTATAAGTTTACATTTCGCATTCTTAATATATTCTATGAATGTGTATAATGCGATAAGAATCATAATAAATTATGCCCGCTCAATTGTATACTCGTTGCAAGCTAAATTTAGACAAAGAAACCCACCTGCTTGTCCTTCTTCTTTTCCTTCTTCTGTTTCTTGTCGGGCCCTTTGATTTTCTTTTCGCTTTTATGAATAGAACTGCCATTTCTTTCCTTTTCCTTCACTTTATCCTTCTTCTCTTTCTTTTTTTTTACTTTTCCCTCCTTGGGTTTTTTCAGCTTTTTATGGAGCTTACGCATTTTTTGTTCATCTGTTAATTGCCCCTTGGACAATCTGCTTGTTGGCGTGATGGTAATATCCTCGTAGCTCGAAAAGCTAGGCATAAACTGCTGATCCTCGGACACATTCATATGAGCGGAAACCAGGCCGGAAGCAGATGTTGCGCCAGCTGACAAACTTGTGACGGGAACCGTTTGAGATGAATACGCCAATCCGCATTCCAACCGTGACAATGGGATGAGATCCGCGCCGCCAGCCAAGCTAAACTTGTCACCTCCTTTGAAACTGGGCATATTAAATTCTGGGAAACAGGGTGTGTTGCAGGAAGGTGTGTCTGTAGAAGATAACATTTTAACATCCTGATGGCCAAGCTTTGATTGTTTCTTAAACTTCTTGATAGATTCACACGAGTTTGGCGAAATTGAGGGATGAAGTATGTCCTTTGAATGATGTTGAGAATCATCTATAGAAGTAGCTGGTGTTGTTGCATGTGGTAGAAGTTGCGATTGTAACGTGCTCGTTCTGCCAAGGTTCGTCGGGATTATTTGTTTCCTATTTTGTGTTGATTCATCGGAGTCATCTGACACCTCAATCGGATCACCGAGATTGCCGGTAGCCTGTGCAGAGGATTTCGCCTTTGGTTTTGAAACTGCTTCTGTACCAGTGGGCCCAGTGGTAGCTCCAGCTACTGCTCCACCTCCTCCTGCTTTCAACTGCATTACAAATCTGTTTCCTAAGAACAGCCAGTCACAACTCACCTACACTAAACTTCATAGACTCAGGTACCAGGGGAGCAACATTGCAATAGGTTCGCTCCGTCATTGCATCAGTTTGGGCGGAGGGCCCCCTCAGAAACTGTCCGATTGTATCCGTTTCTAGGAAAACAAAAATATAAGTAAACGAATAATTATAATTATTGATTCATCTCGATTGACGTACCACTAGTATCAACAGCGCCTAAACGACAAACTGAATCAGAAGCGGATCCACTTGTTCCTGGGAAAGACATGAATGACCCGCTACTTCCAAACCCCACCAGACCTGCCGCCGCCGGAAATAGTCCTGTCCCACATGGTATCAGACCTGGCCCAGAAGGTATCAGACCT